AATGACATCTGTTCCAGGAAGCCAGCTGGACTCTCTGGCTGCAGATCAGCCAAGAGCTGCAGGAGTCAAGACGCTCATCGTTGACGAGCTGTTGCAGCGTTTTAGGACAGGCATGGTCCTAAGTGGTGTCTGGGCATGCGACAAAAGCGTCCTATGTCTCCTATCAGGGTACGTTTTTGCAAAAAGGAATCGGAGTTCAAGCGTGCAATAAGGGCAGCGTCTAGAAATGAGCACGGGACTAACCAGAACCGCCGGTCCTTCCGGTTCGCGGGCCTGGAACAATGCTTCCACGTCCCTCTCCTCTTCAGCCAAACGAATTCAAAAGGAGCTGGCTGAGATCAGCAATGACCCGCCACCGAACTGCTCGGCAGGGCCCAAGGGCGACAACCTATTTGAGTGGGTGTCGACGATAGTGGGTCCTTCAGGTGATTGAGTTGTACCTTCTGCTCATGCGAATGCTATACAAGCTGTTGATTGGCATCATACTGCAGACAATGCCAAGATCGCTGACGAATAAGAGCAGCGGTTGCGCGGTTTGCAAACATTTATTTTGGTCAAGTGCGGCAAGGAAGCGGCAAACCCCTTTTTGAACCTATGATAGCGCTAGCTGGTTCAAAGTGAAGAGAATTTTGTTGCGCTTGCAAGCTTGAAAAGATGGTTGTTCTCACTGTTGATAAGCCAAGGGAGCGATGAAGTTGCTTGTATTAAAAGCTGAGTCAATTTTGAAAAAGCACTTGTATACTGAGAGGGTCACCTTTTTCCTTTTCCAGCACAACAGCAGGCAGAAGGACCACTACTTTGCTAGCTGTCCCCTTGAATAAATATTTGCCCAGCCTTTTGCAATTGTGTGCTTGCAGGTTCCCCATATGCGGGTGGGGTATTCTTCCTTGACATCATCTTCCCCCCAGAATACCCCTTCAAACCACCAAAGGTGCGCGTCTCCTTCCTCAGCAACTCCGTCCTGAGTTAGTCAATTTTGCTTTATGATCAAACCAAAAGTTTCTGGCTGCTTAATTTCAAGATTGAGGATCCAGGATTCATAACTCTGAGCAATCTTGACTGAAGCTTTCAGCTCACATTATCCATGTCTACTGAGGCATTATTGAGCGGCCCCTTTGTTGCTTGCAGAGAGGCGCTTATCAATCCATACTGTCTTCACCAATGCAGGTTTTGTTTCGCACTCGGATCTACCACTGTAACATTAATGGTAGCGGCCAGATCTGCCTAGACACCTTGAAAGACAACTGGAGCCCTGCCCTGACCGTCTCCAAAGTACTGCTTTCTATCTGCTCACTCCTAACTGACCCGAATCCAAGTAAGTGCTTCTTCATCACTGCTTGGAAACATCTAATAATGAAACTTCTTGAAATAAACTTCCTTTGTAGTGCGTGCACCTGTTCTTTTGAGGCGAGCTCTTGGCCTGTTCAAAGCAAGGACTCTGGCAACGAGTCTCCTGCTTTTGCATAGTGCGTAAAGACACGTTGTGGTTGTTTCCTCTTTCGCACACATGTCGAACCACACTCACTTCGTGTTCTTGCGGGGTCTGTAATCCTTAGCCTCACCTCAAAATTTCGCAGTTTGACATGGCCCGTCAGCAGGAAGAAGACCCGAATCCGTCTTCTTCCGACTCGTTTTCTTTCGCTGAAAACTCTACTGGCGCTTGATCCATTTTCTCCTGCTTGCAGGTGACCCGCTTGTTGGCAGCATAGCCCAACAGTACCTCAAGGACCGAGCTGCTCATGACAAGACTGCCGCTGACTGGACCCGGCGTTATGCTGAGTAGCCACACACGCGGATACCATCTGAAATTAATGTTGTCATAGCGGGTTGCATAGAAATCGAATCTAGTGTAGGAGTCAAGGTCTTGCGCAAACAAAGCTCCAAAAGAAAGTCGGGTGCTCACCATCTTGATTCAATAGTTGTAGTTTGAAGAGGCGGACGTTCTTGTGGCAGCCAGCCACCGCTCGTCAGAAGTCATCAAAAGTCGAGTGGCAGCCCTCCTCTGGCGCTTGGTCCGGGTTGCATAGTTCTGGATTAACCTGGGTGGCGAGGCTAGCTTTAACTAGCTTTAGCTTGTACATACGACGGTCAACTTTTATTTTGAGTACTTTCTTCACTGAATTGGATTCTCAATGCGCAATTTTAGATGCAAGAGTCTGCTTGTCAGAATGATGGAAATATATTTTTGCGGCGCGGCCTGCAAATCTGGAACAGCACCAACCGCGGAACAGGCCGATATTGCAGCCACGTACTAACGCGTGTGACCAAAGTCACACAAAGTTACACAACTAGGATCAACAGATGTTGGATGCAGTGCTGATTCATAATGTGATGCAAGAATTTGTTGGCATGGCGCAGCGCCAGGATCTGCCGCTTCTTTTCGGCGACCACCGGCATGTGAGCAGGGCCCCCGCGAGGCCCGCGCTCGCGAGCGCCACCAGCGGCTCGCGCTTCACCGTGCGCCACATGTCCCTAGCACCGCTTGCATGGCGGCGCGCGGGGATGGCGAGGGTTCTGTCCGCACGTACTATAGAGTTTACCGATTGTAAGACCGGTCTTACAGTAACCGTCGTGGATCGTAGCTAGAACTAGTGGTTGTTGGCGGCTGCCAAATGTGCAGCTATAGGCTGCATTTGAACTCGTCGGTTGAAGCTCTGAATGATGACCAAGCGCACCTATAGAGGATTATTGAATTAAAATTAAGACATGTGGAGTCCGCGCGCGCGGCCTTCTCAACCCAATCGTATATGATTTGTGTGTACGGTTGTCATGCGGTCTTATGTCGATGCGATATCATGTCGATGATTAGACTGATACGCTCGGGCTAACGGCGAAAATGAAAATGATACGTCATTCCAGGTCACTCATACGGCATACACACATCATCCATGATCCCGGACACGGTCAAGTCATGAGCTACACGTTGACATGTCAATCATACATGATTGACAAGCTCGGGCCGGTGTGCAGCTATCCTGTACAAGGTGCTTATTCGAGACCGCAGCTCAACTTACCCTGTCCGTCACTGCGGTTGTATTGGGCGGCCGAGCTATTATAGTCTGAGTCAACTCATTAGTACAGGCTGAATGTGATCAGCTCTGCCGCCTAAATAGCCCCGTAAAGTGCCGTATTTCTAGCTGCGCTTCCACGAGCTAGATCGTGTCTTGATCAGCTGGCTGGCAATCAATGACGGTGACTAATGCTAATCTCGTCAGTCGGTCATTCATGGTGGTGCTTTGAGAAGACGGTATCTATCGACAAAACTCGGCGACCGGCCGGGCTGCCGTAATCCTGCCGAAACAGGCAGAGCCGTCCAGCTAGGACGAATCTTCGGTCAGCAGCATAGATGAATATTTTGTTTAGGATCTGCAGTGCACAAGTTTCAATGTGATTCAAGGGACTCAACATGACCATCGCAGCAACCCTCAGTCGCCACTATTGCTACTGTCGTCAGCGGCATACGTGTTTCTTTGGGCTGTCCTTTCTCTTGAAGATTCATATTTCCTGTGGGCTGCAAAGTAGTCCTTTCTGGGGGGATCTCTTTCCGGACTGGACATGTACTGAGCCGCATCCCCCCGCTCGTGGTTTGTCCGGACGGAACGAAAGAACGGCACCGACTCGTAAGCGGCTTCGTGCAGTGCTGACGCAACTTTGGTTAGCGGGCGAGTTAACCTGCAAGCAGAAAGTGGATTTCCATGAAACGTTGTCTGGAAAACCTAGCGATTCAGAGGAACGGATACAAAGAGGAGCAGACTCAAACGAAGACAATGAGCCATTTGTCTTTGTCACGCGAGAAGGACACGGCCTTGCACTCTCCAGGTGTTGGGAACCTTACCCGGATTGGTCACACTGCTATAGTAGATTGATATTGTAGTCGACGTACAAAGTTTCAGGGTGTTCGGAGGAATTGCATGAACAGATCGACCTTACAGCAACGTCACCCACTACTCTAGTTCTTAAGTTTGAGCTGATCAGGAGACGACGAAACATGGCAAGGCAGTTCTTACTTCGCTCTCGAATCCCAGAAAGATCTCCTCACCTCGAACTCTTGACCAGCGTTCTCAGCCACGCGTCGTAGTTCGCCATCATGGCCGCGTTCTCTTTCCTCAGCGTCGCGGCCTTCGCGCGCGCAGCGGCCGCGTCCGCGGCCGCCTTGCTGGCCGCACCCTCCGCCTCCTCGCGCGCGCGCATCGCGCGCCGGAGCGTGTCCTGGGCGTCGCGCGCCTGCGCCTCCAGAACGCGCACTTTCTCCAGGGCGCGGTCCAGGTCCGCGCGCGAGGTTGCGCGCTCGCTGTTATGCTCCTACAGAGCAAAGGGCGCAGCTTTAGCTTCCGTCTATTAGAGCAGCTAGGGGCGGCATCCAATGAACGTCTCGACGGGATCATGCAGGGGTAGATGAAATGAGCGATGCTGAGCACGCCGTAAAGAAAGCAAGCAAGAAAGAATGTGCAAAGCAGTATTAGCGATACAGCACAGCCTATACCTGTGCGTTGGCCGCTCTTTGCCGTCATTGAGTGAACCTCAACTTTGCGTCGCTTTTACCTCTTATGAAGTGAAGCCACCCGACGATGTTATCCTACGGAAAGACTATAACAAGCTCGATGCGGCACCCGCTTCCCTCAGATAGTTTGAACGTGTTCTCGAATCTGCTTCCGGCCTTAATTTGTACCACTATTCCAATTCACAGCCCCAATGCAGCGACCTTCCAGTACTAGAGACCCTGAAACCCTCGAGTCCTGAAAGCTCGAACTGCTCAGCGCTTCATTGTCGTGGCGTCTTCATGATTCCTGAATTCGTTTTGACTCCTCTAATTCACGCTAACATGCGAGATCACGCACAGCGCCTTCGACTCCAACCGCTCAATTCCGATCATCTTTCCACACGAAAACGATTCCGTCCCTCACCTGGCTCTTCTCCCGAGCTTCCAGCCATTCCCTCTCTTTTCCGTCCAGTTTCATTATCAGTCGCCTTTCCCTTTCCTCGTACTCGTCTCTCGCCGCCACCTCCCGCCGCACCGCCGCCTCTAGTTGCTGCTCCCGGGCTGCCACGTGTCCCGCCAAGTCAGCCTCCAACGCCTCGTTCTTCGCCCTCCACCCTTCGATCTCGGCCATCAGCTTCTCGACCGTCCGATGCTCGGCGGTCGCGCGATCGGCCGCCACGTCAGCAGCTCGTTTCGCCTCATCGGCGCGTTTCTCGGCCCACTCGACCGCGCGCTTTACGCCCTCCATTTCGGCCCTCGCTGCGAGAAGCTCCTCTTTACTTTCCTTCAATCTTGTGTCAGTCGTTTCTAATGCCCCGCGGGTGCTCTTTAGAGCCTCCTCTACTTTCGCACTCTCCGATCGCAGCCGTTCGTTGTCTTTCTCGGCGCACCCCCTCGCGTTCGATTCGAACCGCAGCTTGGCTGCAACGTCCTCGAGCTTGCATTTCGTTGTCGAAAGCTCTTCCCAAGCCTCGCCCGCCTTCGCCTCCCAACGCGCGCGTTGCGCGGAAATTTCTTCGCACTCGTTATCCAGTGCCCGTAGCTCCTCCTCAGCTGACGTCAGCAGTTCCGCGAGCGACGCCGCCTCTTTCCGAGCCTCGCCGAGCCGTTCCGCGCATTCCGTTCCGTTCCGTTCCGCTCTGAGCTTCGCCTCCCTTTCCCCGTCCGCTAAGACCGTTTGCTGTTCCACCCGCGCCTCAGCCTGCGCTCTGCCCGTCAGAGCAACCTCGAGGTCCTTTTTTAGAACCCGGTTCTCCTGCTCCCGTTCTGCCTTCTTCTGAAGTACTCGTTCTAAAAGCTGCTCTAGTTCCTTGATCCGTGCTTGTTCCTCATTGAGGAAAGCTTCCATCCGCGTCTGATCGCCCCGCAGCTCTGCGTTCTCGCCTTCCAACGTGGACACCTGCCCGTTCGCCACGTGGCAGGCCTTCCGTTCTCGGTTTAGGCTGCCCCGGGCTTCGGTCAGAGCCTCCTGCACAATCACCGGCCGTTCGAAACCTCGGGTGTGGAAGAGCGGATGTTGTTCCTCAGGTGAACTCTCTATTCCGAGAAATTCTGAAACAACTTACGGAAGAGATTACCTTCATCTTGGCATGCGTGCAAAAAAAATCGTGATTAGTCAAGGAAGAGCGACGCTGTCTTCTTTTTCGCTTCGGACTCGTCGATTGTAGCGTTGATTCAAGTTTCCAAAACTATTTCCCATATCTTTCCAGGCAAAATCTGCTCGAAGGGTCAAGCAGTCCCCCTGCAAACGTGTCCGACCTGGTCGTACGGCCGTAACGGCGATTCTTTACCGTTGCAATGAACCCTCGGTAGCATTCGCAGGGCAGTGCTCGCCCACAAACATTCACAAACTGGGATCGATTCATCCGAGCCAGAAAGTCAAGTGATTTGCTCGACCGGCCTTCAAGACGCGATTGGCTTTCGAGAGGCTCGGAATTGCGTTCGAAAAGAAACTCTGAGGCTAAGATCAATACCATTACTTTAAGCAGGGCTCAATGCTCCTCACCTGCAGAGCGTCTCTCGTCTCCTCCACTTCTCGCAGCACCGCCTCCACACCCGTCAACCGTTCAAGTTCGCCCACGAGCCGCGTTTTCTCTTCCCGGAGGCCCTGTGCCGCCCCCTCCGCCCTTTCCCTCCCCTGCCGCTCTTCAGTCAACCTCTCCTCCAACAGGGCCCTCTCTTTCTCTACCCGCCGAAGTCGTTCTAACTGCGCCTGCGCTTCGCTCAGCTCCCTCTCGAGGGACTTATTCACACCGTCAATTTTTCGCCAGTGATCTTCTTCCCGGTCGAGTCGGGTGAGGGCCGCGGTGGCACGTGTGACTGCCACCTGGCGCGTCTCGCGGTCTTCTTTTAGGGTCTGCTTGGCGGTTTTGAGGCCTTGGTAGAAGGAAAGCGAGCGCTCCTTCTCGGCTGCGAGCTGGGCCTCGGTGTGGGACAGGTGGTCCTTGAGCGCTGTTATCTGTTGTAAAAAGAAGACTCATGGAATCAAACACCACCAAAGAAGGTCTAATTGATGGAGACTGTCAGAGGAATGGTCCTTCAGTTCACAATCGTGAAAGGGACACGAGATGAGACGTTTGATTCTCATATGCCCCCACCATTCTCTGTGGCTTGGAGAATTGCCGCCTCCTTCATACGCTTGCTCTTGTCTTGCAGCCTTTTCAGTTTACTCCGACTGCCTTGGCCGTTCTCTGAAGGAGGGCAGAGTAGATCTCCGGATTGTGATTCAGGGTCCTTAAGGGCCAGATTGAAAACTCTCACTGAGCATTTGGTCACAAAACACCATTGCAGTCTGTGAAGACGCCGCATCTTGTGGCTTTCGCAGATTTCATCATGACGAATGTGTCCAACCGGGCAGAATAAGTGCGTATCCGTCAAACAATAATTGGGATTGTCGTTCCACGAGGGCTTTCATTGGGTCTGGCGGACTTGTGAAAGCCCTTTCACTCTGTACAATCTATGGAAAAAATGGAAATCGCAGCGTGCATACGAAAGCTGTTATGAAAAGAAAATGGATTACCAACTCACCGTCGCATGCGACGTTGTCCGCACGTGAGCAAGCTCCTGCGATAGCGCGCTGTTTGCTGTCTTCAGCTCCTGAATGGTGTCTTGGACCGCTTGCTTCTCTGCTGCTTCCTTTGCGACTCTGTGGAGTCTGCTGCAACCCCAGGCATAGCTGGGGCAGTAGCCCCCTCCAGCATTGTCTGCTGACACGTTGGTGGTCCGGAAGTGCTTGCTAGGCTGAGTCACAGTCGGCTGCGGTCGGTTAGAAACCTCCTGCAGAAAGATCGGTGGTAAATGACCAAGTAGAGAGTTGGAAATCATAGGATCAGGGGGATAGAGGTAGCAGGGAGGTTTGAGATGGGGATGCTCATACGGGGGAGGTCGTGGGGCGATTTAAATAAAGCCTAAGACGCTGCTACGATGTGGAACCATCAACACCAGTAGCTGCCTTATAAATGTCCTGACAGTCTGACTGCAGTGGTCAAGTCTATGTAAAACACACTCACTTGCTTATTCCGCCTGGTGGTTACCACTGCCTTCTCATCACATTCATGGACACAATGCCCCGCACTTTTAGCCCCCTCCGTTGCACCCATTGAAGCAGCATTGTGACTTCGTGATGAGAGAGGAGCTTCCTGTAGGGAGGAAGTTCAAAGGCTAAAATATAAGAATATAATCAACAAGGTTGCACCAGGTGCGTGCAATTCGTACTTTCATGCAGTGCACCCCGAAATGCAGATAAGGGCGGGCGGATTGAAGCACCACAGCCAGGGCCGCAGCATGCAAAGTGGGGTGGATCAATGGCCACTAGTCAATAAAGAAGCTCTGGCAGATAGGTTGATGAATAGCTCCGGCAACGTTGTCTTTCAGAAGCTCCAGCCAGCTGTCGCAAAACCTTTTGACTCACCTGAAAACCACAAAGCTGGCAGCCTGCATGAGTCATGTTTTCCGAGCTGGGCGCTTATTCTGAGCTCTGACAGGAACTTTTGGCCGCCCCGTTATTTGGATCTGCATTCGGGTCGCCAACTTCCTGAATGAATTATGACCTGCGCAGCAGGCATTGCGGCCCTGACGCTCAACTTGAGTCAGCAACAAGCCTAAAAGAACCAACCCCATTGCGGCGCCCTGAGTTCCATCAATTTGAATGTCATTTGCGGGCGAGCTGAAACAGTGGGGCTTCGCATTCATGTACTGCAGTATGTAGGGAGGTGGTAGCCGGGTAGGAAAGAGAGAAAGAGACGATCACGATTCACGTCCGACTCCAGCGATTTGGAAACACCCCCACTATCGATCGTCCGATGGCGCTTCGAACGGTGCGATGGCGGTTCCTTATGATAAAACATATCAAGCAGCCGTTGAACTGCGCCATGAATTTGAACCCCAGTTTCCACTGCCAGTGCTAGTAGCTACTGGCCTGCAAGGCGCCGACCTGGCGTTGGCACTAGTAGTAGTAGGAGTCTTGCTCGAAAACCCCTTGTGAGAGCGAGTTGATATGATGTGATATGATGGCTGCATCATTTAGCATGTACCTTATAGATATACCTATATTTTGATCGACACTCCAGCAGCTTTCGGTATGCAAATTTCCTTTACAGAAGAATATATTTGATGCAGGAGATTAACGTACCTGTTAGCTGCAGGAATTGCAAACTCTGCCATCATGCATGCCATTCCTTGGAACGGTACAGAACAAGTTGGAGAGCGCATCCTTAGTCACGATCTTCTTATCACGTGCCGGCCTCGCGTCACACTGCATTCTGTAACTAAGGCTGCAAGAAATGAAACGATGGTGCCTGTGGTTGTGCTCTTCATCTAAATGAAAGCTTGCAGATCTGGAAAATGGAGCTCTTTAAAGTTCCTACCTCTGAGGGAGGTTGGAGCACTTGAGTAACTGGTGGCGTATCTGAAAAGATGGTCCGAAGTGCAGTGAAGGTTCTTGTTCGGATCCGGCCCAGTGAAAACTTCGCTGAGCGCAACCTGACGATCAACCCCGATGGAAAGGTATGCCAGTGCTGCCACGCACAATGCTGCACGTCTTGTAGCTGCTTCATTTGACAGCATTGCACGACAATAGCATTTGCAGCTGGATTCCAGGACAAGCAGCCTGCGCATGTAGGCAGCTTATCTCAGAGCATCTGACAGAGGAGACTTCTGTGATAGGCATTGCAATCGTTTCTACGGTGAGATAATCCCGACACTGGTGAGCTCAAGTGACTTTGATAAGTCTGTGAGTTCCTGCACTCATTGATCCCTATGTGTGTGCAGAGTATCACCGTACATCTCAAGCGCCAGGACGAATCATCAGCTGGTGCTTCACAGCAAGACGACCATACTTTTCGGTACCAATTTTCTACTGAGTTACCTCCATTCTGACCAAGCAATCTCTTCACAAGCTTCTTGTACGCCTGTCATCTTTTTCTTGCGGGAGCTCACACATGCGAACGGTAGCGGCTCTGTAGACTAAAAATGAATCATTTTGTCTACATTCTGAGGAGTCGAAGGACGTGTTACGGGACACTCGAAACAACGTATCAGGTTTTGACGGTTTCAAGACCGTGCTTGTAGGCAGGCAATGCAGGTTTCAGTCGCTGCCGTAACTCACTGTTTTGCAGCGAGGCTATGCCCCTGCATAGCATTCAGCCAACCACTGCCCCAATCCAGGCCGCAGGTTAACTGTCTGAAGCCGGCTATTCGCATGCTCTACTTTCGGGTCTAGTTTTTCAAAATGCAAGCAGAAGTACTAGCTGAAGTCTGGGGTTTTCCAAGGCCTCAAAATAAAATCGCAAACCTTTTTTTGCTTCACAAGCTCCATGTCTTGGGTTTTGTCTGATATGTGCAGGCCAGATGGAACTCTCCACAATGCTTCCCAGGAAGCAGTCTATCAGTCTGCGGCTTTTGAGACCGTGGAAAGGTTCCTGGAAGTAAGTGCAGCAATGAAGGCCATATCTTCTCCCTTTGCCTGCTAGCGTCCAGATAGTCGAAGAAGGCACGGACAGACTTCGGACATGCCATAGTTGAGGGTCTTCGAAAGCAGATTCTGACGGAAGTGGCTAATCTACGTTTGCCCTCAACGCTTCGCATCTAAAGCTCTCACCATAATGAATATCGTTCTCGACCTAGTTAACCTCGCAAAACAATATTGAGGTCCAAACTTTCTGACCATGAACTATGCTGGCAATTCACCAAAGTCTTATTGGTAAGCATCACTGCAAGTACCACCTCATGACCCCGTCCATCTTTTCTTTGCCAGGGGTATAACGGTTCGATCCTGGCCTACGGCCAGACTGGAAGCGGCAAGACTTATACGATGTCCTCCGGTGATCGCTCGTACTCTAACCGGGGGATCATCCCGAGGGCCATATCGCACATCTTCAGAGCAGTACGGAACAAGCAACAGGTACGATTCGCGGTTGACTCCGAGCGCTCAAATAAGCCCTCCTTCTTGAGAAGGAAATTGATAGCTTAGTCGTCTCTTACATTGTGCAATCAATCGAAGCCTCTAACTCTTACGAAGATCTCCCTTGGCAATCTTCACTTTTGCAACCGCTTCCTAACTCAACGGTATCTTTCTGCAGAATCTATCGACCGCTTTCCTGACAGTGACTAGATTCTTATTTGACACATGGGAGTCAAGCAGGATCTAGTGCAAAGGGCTCAAGCAGCCCCAGTAGTTGAAAGGCAGCAAAACCGATGCACGACAAAACTGATGCACGACAAAACTGATGCACGAAGCTCCATGTAAATGCGACAGTAAATACGTTCTGACGTTCCAGCGATAGGTCTTACGAAGATTTCGATGGTTCGCAATTTGCAGGCTCTGGCGACCCTTCGCGTCTCCTACTTTGAGATCTACAACGAGCAAATCTCGGACCTGCTCGGTAACGCACCCGCTGCTGACCTGGCAATCTCGGAGAACGCCAAGGGACACGTGTCCGTCAAAGGTACGCCCGCAGGCGCTGCTCTTGAAGGCACATAGTTGTAAAGAGTCCGTGAAAGAAGGAATAGAACAAATTGTTGCTTTCGAGCGATAAGGTGAAGTGACTACCTCGGACTTTGTCATCCATTATACGTTGTGCCTGACGACGAATGAACTACTCCTTGGTCCGATAGCTGGAAATTGATCCGAAAGATGCGATGCACCCTTTCGGCTTTGCGAAACCGGATTGCGACAAAGGTTCAAACAAAGATTTTCCTTCCGACCGACTCGTTGCCCCCTCAAGTCCTTATTTTCAGGTCACTCTTCGTCCAATTGCCGGTAAACGAAGACGTTTATGCCCGCCCGACGTCGGAAACGAGACGGAAGCATCGCAGCAAACTGCCGCTCTTCTCGGCTCTCTGATCTTCAAAAAGTTCCGAATTGAATTGACGTTATTTGCCTCAGCGACGCCCTCAGCCTGCTTCTCGAGGCGAGATCATCCACCAAAGGACATCTCCGCTACGTCCTGCTCTTGGATCCTCAACCTGCTCTGAAAGTCTTGTTTTCGTTCCCCACGTTTGACCGCCAATCCCGTCGCATCCAAAGAAGTCGGGCTGAGCCTTCTGTTCGAGGCCACCAACCAAATTTCACCGCCTCCTTTTTCGCTAGGGAACCTAAGAATGCTCTGAAAGTCCTTTCTTCCTCCCCTAGGCTTGACTGCTATTCCTGTCGCAACCGAAGAAGACGCGCTGAGCCTGCTGTTCGAGGGCGAGACCAACCGGGCAATCGCGGAGCACCAGCTGAACCGCAGCAGCAGCCGGTCGCACGCCGTCTTTTCGATGTCGATGGACCTGCGCGCCGGGGACGAGTCGAGCAGCATCACGACGTCGAAGCTGAACCTGGTCGACCTGGCGGGGTCCGAGGTGCGTTAAAAACAAGTGCGAAAGTGTCCCGTTTCGACAGTCTTCTGATGTGCTTTCGGACTTTTGGCTCTTGGCTTTTATATTCTGCACAGTCTCGGACAGTTAATAGTTCCTCAACGGGAAGACGGTTTTCGTTCGTAGACCGTCGATTGATTGTCTTGGAGCTCAAAGGATCGGTAGCTCAAATCGAAGCAACGGAAAAAGTAGCAGGGAAGCTCAACTGGGGACGCGTGCCCAAAAGAAGGCAGTCCCTCTGCGCCGGCAATATAGAAGAGTTGCCTCGACACATGAACGGCATGCTTGAGACCACCGTATTACTGAATCCAGTCTCAATTGTTCTTAAAAATCTGCCTTTCTCCAGCGCCTCTCCAAAACCAAGTCGACCGGGGGTATCGCCAAGGAGGCCACGTACATCAACCGGTCACTTTCCTTCCTGGAGCAAGTGACCGGGGCGCTCGCGGAAAAAGGGCGCGACCACGTGCCCTACCGGAGCTCCAAGCTGACGCACGTGCTCAAAGACTGCCTGGGCGGGAACTGTCAGACCGTAATGATTGCCACTGTGTGGGGGGAGGCGGTTCATCTGAGAGAGACGGTCTCGACGCTCAAGTTTGCCGCGCGGATGGCGCGGGTGTCCAACGAAGTGTCCGTGAATGTCCGGCAGGTGAGGGCCCGAGGTTCGAAAGTGGGTTAGAGGGTTTTGGTTTGAATGGGTTTGAATCCGAAAAGTGGCCAAGACGATAATATCCTCGTCACTTTAAAAAGTATCATGCTTGCACAAGTTTTCCTGCCTTGTCGTTGCGGTAAGTGGAGCAAGCCGTCCGCCGCTGAGAGCAACCTTTAAATCTCATGACTTAATGCGCAGTCAACTCTCGAGGCAGTTCGCTTTGCTGTTGCTAATTACCAGCTCGGAACGCCGTCGTTTTGCACGTTTCGCGCCCCATAGACAATATTATATTCAACCAGAGGCTGGGAAATTTTTCTTCAAGCATGTCATGAGTTCTGGGTTTAAACCTTTGCAAGCCTCCCCGGCGCGTACCCAAACCCAAGGACCCTGGATTCTAAACGTTCCAAGAAACCCCTTACCAAAACAGTTGCTAGACTCTCTACAAACATCGAGATTCTTGAGTAATTTGCAGGATCCTGAGAGTCTCTTGAAGCGGTGCGAGGCCGAAGTGCGCGAGCTGCGCCAGGCGTTACTTTTGCGGTCGGGTGACGCCCCCTCGTCAGGTTGTGAAGCTCTGTCCCCCGGGCAGAGGGCGGCCGTGCGCGAGCACGTGCGCGCGTTTCTCGCGGGCGCGGCCGCGGAGCCGCCGGAGATCACGAGCACGGCGCACCTGAGGGAGGTCCTTCTGCAGTGCCGGGTAAGAATGGAGGTGAATGACTCGTGGTCGCTTTCGAACCGCGACTTGAAAAGACCGAGATAGAGAGTGAGGGGAAGGGTTTGAACCTGGTTCACGACTCAGTTTTGCAAAGCCGATGACTTGTAAAAGGATGGGGAGAATAAGAACGGCTGGTCACCAGACTTTTGCAACAGTTCAGTACGCGACTCTCTGTACCGTTGACTGTGCGAATATTGCGACAGGAATCCTGAAAACTCGCCTGTAGTAAGTGAAACTATCTTGAACGTGCAGGTTATGTACCAAGACGCATATAGCGCTCCGCCAACCGCGACTCTCTCTGCACGCACGGCCTCCTCTCCACCCAATTCGTCCAAAACCTTCGACACACCAACTGCCGCTGTAAAAGCAACCCGCACTCCGCCAGAAACGTCAGGAAAGTCCGGGGTGTCAATGTCTCGGCCACCGTCCAAGCCAGAAACGGCGACAGAGAAGACCGGGGCACCGCTTCTCAGGTCGCCCTTCCACCCGATGCCTGCGAACATTGTTCCAGTGGGAGACGAGGACTGCTCGGATGCGGGGCTAGGGGTTGGGGTCGCGCCCGAAGACGCGCGGCCGCGCGAGGATGGGGAGGGTTTAGCGGTTCCGGGCGCGGAAGCGTGCGCCGCAGAACGGATGGGAGCTGGGGAGGATAGAAGCGCTGCGTTTGAGACGTACAAGACGGGTAAGGGTGCTTGATGGATGTTCCTCAAAGAGTCTGCGATTGTTGCAGAGCACAAAGCACCGAATTCTGATGTTCGAAGGCATGGAGGAAAGTTGCTCAGATTCCTTTGCAACTTTGCAATTTTAAGCTTTTCCTGACGAACACGCTACCGGACGATGTAGAAGATCACGTGTGAGTCCGTTACGCCTCTTTCAAAAGAGCGAATTGATGAAAAAGATGACCGAGGCCAGCCATTTTGCCCTCAGGGACATTTCAAGCGTCCTCTTGTAGATTACCACTTTCGGATTTGAAGCGTCAACCAACTATTGCTAAAAACCATGAAGTATCCGACTTCAATGTCATCCTTTCGGGTGCACGCGCAGGCGTGGGCGCAGCCCTACAGCGCGTGCTCGCGGAGAACAAGGGCGCTTTGCGTGAGCGCAAGGGCGCGGCCAAGGATTTAGCGGCCAAAGTGAATGAGTGCAAAAAGTGGATCGACGATCTGCGGGGGGAGGTGGAGGCGGTGAATAACAAGAGGGGGGGGGTGAATGAGGGGGAGAACGAGCCCCTGGTTCTGGATGAAGAGGAGTTCCGGAGGGTAGTCGAGTTGAAAGTAAGCGTGTAGGTCGACTCTACAGTAACATTCAATTCGCTGGATTGATTATGCCAATAATCAATCAACAAAAAAGCAAAAACAATATGACTGTCGGCGAATTTCGTATCAACGAAACGGTTCAAACGGTAATGTCTTTTGCGATTATTTTATTACCCCTAGCATCATTTCTGCGCGTCGTAGATTCAATCTTGTTGGGAATGATGAGAGTGACAAAGGTCGAAAGGCGACAGGGTAATCATAGTCCCCGAGACAATGTCAGTACGCCGGGTTGAGAAACCAGTTGCGCTCGGGTTTTCAATATAGGGGTTGGATCCTAGAATTGCAGGCCCTCAAAGAGATAAGTGCTGCTGGCTCACCTCGCTACTTGGAAGAGGAGGTTTGGGCCATCCCGACCCTTTCACTTCCTTGACCTTCTGCAGGACAACATTGCAATATCGTCTATCTTACTCCAGATCTTCGTGAACAAAGGTCCATTCGCAGATTTGATAAAAGCCTCCCTTCATGCCCCGCTTTCTTTTGCTACGCAGGAGCTGAAGAAGCAGTACCGTGCTCTCTTCGAGGAGCTCCAGTCCGCACGCGCGGAGGTGGCGTGCGCCCAGAAGCTAGTCGAGCGGAGCACGCAAGACCTGCTCTTGGGATTTGAAGGGTGGTAAGATGGCCTGTCAATTGAATAGAGTATGCCATTTAAGGTCTTCCTTGGAACCAGCGGAGTGGAATCGGATTACAAGGTTGAAGATTTTGCAAGTTCGTTGCTCGAGAACAATCTCGGTCAGCGAAGCTCTTGGTACTTCGAGCTGGTCAACCTGTCAAATCCGTTCCTTCTACGAATGATTATCAGCTTTTATTCACGATACCCGAAGTAATATGTGATTACGCGCCCGAAGTCTGTCAAGCTAGGACTAGCTTCATTCGCTTCTTCGGCTCTTTTTCGTAAACGAAGCGCCCGCACCGATTAGTTGCGCTGTTTGAGAATCTGGATTCATCCAAACGCAGGTATGCGGAAGAAGCGCCCGGTGCTATGCCGCTCTTGGCGACCGCGACCGCGGCCGCGCGGTCGAACTTTGCCAACGCCCAAAAAGGCGAAGCCTATTCTTGCACTGTGTCACCCGAGAGCAGCGGTTCTGGGACGGACAGCCAAGCAAGCGGAAGCGGAAGAAAGAGCAGTGACGTTGGGTCCGGGACACGGACAGCAGGAAGAAAGAGCAGTCATTCTGGTACGGACAGCAACGGAAGCGGAAGGAAAGCAAGCAGCAGCAGCGCGAGCGATGCGTCGGACCCGGACGAGGCCGCGTTTTTGCATCTGCAAGATCGGACGGCGGGGAAGCGGAGGAGCAGCCGAGTGTCCCCCGATCGACGGATCTCGTTTGGAAGTAAAGTGAGCGTGCCAGCGAGGTCAGGACCGCTGATGGGCAGCAGTCAATCGTAGTGTTTTTGTTACTACTGTAGTACTAGCATAACGCCGCTGGTTTAGTTGGAGTCACCATGTGCACATGAGGGAATGAACTGCAATCATTTCCATGTTCATGCCCGTAGCTTTTACTTCATCTGATTACTAAACAATGCGCTTACATGATGAAGTACTTTTTGTCGATGTCGCCAAAAGTCATGTTGCATATCAGAGAGCATCGGGATAACCACTACATGTGCATGGAGCAAGCCCGCTTATCGACCAGCAACATGCTAATCTCAAATTTCAACTCACCTGGCATCTCTGACAATGATTGAGAGCATGCCGGCGCGCTGGCCAAGTGCTGGACCGCGCAACCGTCCGTCCAACCGCATGATGATGCTACAGTAGCTAGACTCGACTCCATCGGAAAACTGTGCGGCGCCGTTGTGACACTGACGGATGAAACGCACTGATATGCGCTCAATCACAGATCGATATATTCAGGTATAAAACTCTGTTGAACTCGGACGCACTACTACGAACATCCAATGATCCTGAAGTGTGAAACGGCTGAGCGAACTATCATGCAAGTGGCTGGGCCTTACGCGACCGCCATCCTTGCCTTTTCATGTGTGACGGAGCTGCTGGCTGAGCTAGATAATTCAAACATACAATGTGCGCCGCAGGTCGCCACTGTTGATCTCACTTTTAAAGACGAGTGTGCACGATCTCAAACGATCTGCTTTAGTGGTACATAAGCAGCCTGATCTGGATACTGTAAACTTGAACGTCAAGCGTGCGATCCTGTGCCCGAAAACACCGCGACGTTAGGATCAGAAGCCGAGAACCCGTAACCTGGTGGCAGGATCCAGCCTCACTTGCAGAATCTCTTTCGCTGTGGGATGCTCAGCTGCGCTTTGGAGCGTGTACAAGGCGTTCTGAGAAACTGCCTGGTCCTGCAGATGGAATAAAGAGTGATGAGCCAAAAAAAAATCCTCGAAAAGAAGCACAACTATATTGACTTGTGTTCAAGAAACGACTCTCATTACCAGCTTGAAGGATCGACTTCAAGCGGCGAAACAAGCTCGTCTCCTCGGACACGACGGAACAGAGGCCAGCTCAAATGAATGCAATACGCGTGTAAAACTCATCATTAGCGCTGCCCTCGGCAATAGCGAGCCTTCTCGTCCACACTCAGCGTGACTGCGAAAGCATCATACGATCATTTTTCACCCCAGGCTAGATGTAGATCCCTGCAACCAATGGTGAATGGTCAAACGGACTCTCGGGCTTACAAGTGTAACCCAACAGTAACGAGACTCCGTCACATTCTCTTTTGACGGTACATGCAAAGGAAAATCTACTAATTCGTTCGTCGGATCCGAATCCCGAATAGCCGCCACGGGCGCAACTTCCCTTCCATGACCTCAACCACGAGCGCCCTGGATGCCCGTAACCTGAAAAAGCCCCCGACGCTTAGACCTATTTACCCCTAACGGCCATACTTCTCGATTCATGTTGATAAGAGCATGTTGACCAGGAACAGTGCTTGGGGACCAAGACAAAAACAAAAACCTAAACCCGAGTTTGAACATGCTCCGCACCCGCACCCACCCTAACCCCCGGACCAACCCTGCCCGTCCTCCGGGCACTTTCTTTAGTCAATATGGCCCTCAGTGACCATGGAAATGAGCTATCTAACCGTCAAGCTGCCACAGCTCGTTAGCCTCCCTCAACGACCGCCAAAACCCAGGCCACAAAAGGTTCCTGAGACCGGAGCCCTCGAACTCAAAACCGCGGAACCTCCAAACCCATCCTCCAAACCTTCATCCACCAAACCCCACAACCCCAAACTCACCGCGCAGCTGACGAGCTCCGCGAGGCGCTTCCCGGCGGTCTCGACGATGGCGACCTTGGCGGCCTCGTCCAGAGTGAGCCCCATGAGTGCCGCGGTCGCCAACTGCTGCACCGCGCCGCGGCCGCGCATCGCGTCGCCCAGCAGCGCCGTGATGGCGGGGAGGCCGTCCAACTGGAGAACCTGCGAAGGGGCGGCCGCGATGCGTTTCCCGAAACCTCTAAACCCGGAATCATACTTAGAAGCTCGTAGAGTCTCGGACATCGTCAGCAGGTCTTCTGTAATTGGTATGTATCCTACTGTCTCTTACGCGGTGAGCGCACGTATCATGTCTTTGGGGACGGACAACCTCAGCGCTGAAAAGAACTGCCTCCGGTTTAAGACTGGTCTTCCTGTAGGCTCACAAGGGGCCAGCAGAATCTGAACCCACACTTCAAAAAGATTATGCCTTTTTCCAACGGTCCAATAAGCCAGGTTTCATTTCAGCGGGTCAGCCTCTTTTCAACGAGACTGAACTCTTTTCAACGCCTTCAAGTAACGTACTCCAATCTTGCCTTGCAAGAAACATTCGGATTTGCTTTGCCATCGCCTATCGAGAATCCCGCGTAACGTCCGGCTTCTACCGATGCATTGTTCTTCTCCGGTTCCTGGTGACGTCAGCCACGCAATCGACGGGTTTGCGCACCTTCTTCTTTCCCAGCGGATGTTGGCAGATCTGCGACACGGCCCGCGCGGACGCCTCTAGGTGAGCGCCGTCCGGACCGTCCGTCCGTATGCAGTGCAGCAGAACGTCCGCCTGCACATAAGCGATAAGAGGGCGATAAGCGATGGAGGATGCCGGTAAGCAGTTATTGCATCAGGTAAGGTGCGGACATGCGTGTCGATGAGCGCCGTCGGACCGTCCGTCCGGGAGCAAAGCAGCAGCAGGTCTTACTCGATCGGACGGCGATAAGCGATGAGCCATAAGGGATGGAGGATGCTGGTAAGCTTTGGAAGGGCAGAGGGACATGCGCGTAGGGAACTACCGTCCGAGGCGCTGTGCTTCAAAGCAGCACGTCTGCCTGCTTGTACGCAATGAGAAACCGCAGAAGCGACCGAGAGACTGGGAAAGTCTAGGTAGACGTTGAGAAACTGGGCATTTGCTCGGCGCACTTTAACCACGGAGGCACCGAAGGGCTTCGTCCAGAAACAGAACAGATTCTAGATGAAGCTCCTTTTGTAGGCGCTAGATAAGCAGGCAGGAGTTGAGAAGGCCGGAATTGGCACGGAAGACTTGATGCGACTGCTTACGCCGTTCGCTTGCAACACTGCTTCGACCCCACTGCCGACTCGTGTAAGGTTGACCAGGGTTTCAATGCTAACCATCCCCTGCAAAAAAGAAACCGATGTCAGGGACAGTTTTGAAAAGGGTGGTTTTCGCCGAGTGAACAGGGGACTGCTGCGGGGTCCTCGAGGCGCTACTATCAGCTTCGATGTCGATGCGAGAAAGTGTGTGCGAAGCGGCGACCATACAAGCTTGTATGGTCGCCGCATGCCCCTCTCATGCGCCACGCCTCCATTGTACGCAGCCACATGTTGTGGTCTGGATCCATTCAGATCGCGTCTGCAAAGAGTTTTTTGGTCGAGGTAAAGCTGAGTACGCCCCTTACTTGTAAGGGGAGTAGTACACCGAGAGCGTTCTAGGGTCGCAACGAGATTGGTACCGTGACTCCGACGCCTAAGGGTAAGCGCTAGCTGTCGTTCGATCAGCTTGACGGGTCGAAAGTGATCTCAAGCAATTCTGAAGGCTCATCTTTATCGAAGCGCACAGCAATCTCTATATAAACAAGCGGCGGTTTGAGATTGTGCGTGCAGACAAGTTGAATACGAAAAAGCGTCGACAGCTTAAGATTTTCGGTCCAAATCGACATAAGTTCCGCAGTCGCCTGCCACAATGCACCTCTGCATAGTACAGACGTCGGTCCTGCGAGCAAAGCTCTCGACAGAAGTCCTGAAAAGAAGGCGACTCCGGACAGACAGGTTAACGAACGACGCTCTGTTCCCTCGTATTTCGGAGTTCTCCTCTTATAATCACTTAACTGACCGTAGACCGACGCGAGTCAGGAAATGTTTTGAAGAGAAACCGTTGGTTGATGGCAAATCTGGCAACAACTTTAGGTCGAAAGCAGTCTACTTACTGCAGCACTCGATCCGTCGGCTCTGCACCGCTGCACGTGCTGTACGACGGCCGGGACAGCGGTGTCCGAATTCGTACGCAGAAAGACAGATCCGTCTGGGGAGTTGCTCAAGTTGTGTAGGCACTCGGCTGAGGCATGGTTAACCTGCGGAAAGAAGGACGAAGTTCCGGGTCAACGTGATGCTGAGCACAGCAAAGGACCAAGGCAACGGGCCAAAAGATAGCCGTTGAACGCAGTCTCGCGAGTGAAACGAAGCCATGGTCCCGACTTGAGGCGCACGTTTTGAGCTGGGAAACAATTGACCAGCAAACGTGTGCAAAGTGCAGGAAATTGAGGCGTAGCCCAGCATACGTGACCACAAAAGGTTCAGAATGATAAGCAGGATCGGATCCGAACTACTTATCAGTGAGTTGCCGCCTCCTAGGACCCTGTTTTTCATGGCAACCAGTTTCAAACACTCCAACAAGAGTGTCGAGGAGAAGCTTATCAGAACGAGGCTTCAAACACACCAAGTGACACGAAAGTGCTCTTCAGTTTCAAAAGTAAGCCACGCTCCTCTTAGCTCAACTAACCTCGCGAATCGGATCCTGCAAACCAGCCAGAATGTTCGGCAGGCCGTCGTCCCTCGCAAACGCCTCCCTTCCGCTCTGGATGGTAATAAAGCGAGCTACTAATATGCAGGCCAAGCGTCTAATGACCCTGTCCTGGTCGGTTGTTCGTGATAGCAGGTGAGGGAGCACACCAGACTTGATAGCCAGAGCTCGGGACTCCTGCAACACAATACAGAGAATTAGACTCAAGCATCAGTCCTCCGCACTCTGACTGCTGATCGAGTTGACTAGTCAAGCATGCCAATTTTAACCTAACCCCAGTGGAGTCAGTGCTCAGCTCAAAGTCGCAGTGTCCCCCACCTGGCTGCTGATGCAGTCAAAAAGTGCCTGCAGTGCTTGCTTGCACTGTTCAGGGGGGAGCTCGTCCCCCAGCTTCAAGACCCCCACGAGCTTGTCTACTTGTCTCCTGCCATAAGCTATGGCGACCTCTTGGGGGTCGACCTCTTTTGAGAAGGGGGGAGCGATGTAGGGGTGCCGGTCTTTGAGGAACTGGCTGTGGAAGAAGGGGGAGATCTATTATAGATCTTTATGTCCACGGGCAGCTTGACTGAAGCTTTGGAAAATATTAGGTAAATGGGGGGATCAACTTGCAACAGCTGCTCTTCTATTAAGCAGTGAAGCTTCGTGTGAGTTCTGTTTTGGCCGAATAACTGAGTCTCCAGCCTTGAGTCGTTGTTGCTTCTTGCGTCTCTGATTGAGCTTCTCCACTCCATTGGAAGGAGAGGCTTACCTCAAAGGAGACAAAAGCAAACGTATCCAAGGTTCTTAATCTACCCCCATCTTAAAGCCCACAGCTTTACAATAAGATTGCAAACGAAGGAGGCAACAGTAGGCTAGAACCTCGAAATCATAAGGACGGAATGCGTCACCTCTTGCAGAGAATTTTGATGCGGCACAAAAGGAAAGCATGTCTGGGTCTCACCTGTTCTCCTGTATCTGCACCCATGCGGGTCTGGTGAGAATGGGCTCCGCCATTCTGGTCCCGAAGCACCACTCCTGTATTAGTAGTTGCCAGCCAACCAACTCCTTCCAACAGCGTTTTGCCTTGTAGGAACGTGAGTTGCGAAGTACACGGGAGGAGTATGATGACAAGAATGATCAAGAGAATGCCAATTAGGCAATTGATTGAATGAAAAACTCCAAGCTTAACCTGCATGAGCCGTCCATGAGCCGCATTGAACGTGCAGGCATGCCGCCATGGCATTGGGGGCAAACCCTAAATTGAACTTGAATCACTGGGCCGGTCCAAACCCTGGCGCTGCCGGCCGCGAGCGAATTACAGACGCGACCGGTACAGCCGCGGGCCCGGCCGCCGCGCTCGTCGAATCGCATGCGCATATCGCGTCCATTGCATGATCGACGTCTGTTGTACAGGCCTACGTGCGTATGCGTGCCCATAGTGCGGCCCGGCGCGCCGGTCAGCTACCCGCCTAGATCCCACGCATGGCATGGCATGCCATGGCATTTGTGGCCTGGCGCAGCGAGACAAAGAAAACGATTCAAATCACTTTCTCAAGCTTTCTCCTAGTACTATACGACGATGAGCTGCGGCTGTTGACAGCTAGCTCTTTTCTCGACGTACTCGAGCCCTCCTCAAGCCGTCACTACACTTATCAAAGGGATCAAATGAATCCGTGAAGCCTTCGCATGAACGATCACGGAAGACTCAAGTGCTTGAGTTCAAACAATTATCACAATTAGTCAGCTTGCGTGGGCCGGCAAACAATCAAAACAAGCAAAGCGTAAAAGTACTTCCTACTGGCAAGCCTGACCTAACTCAATTGCAAACATGCAAATTGACAGAATGTCCTTCTCATATAAGGTCGCCCTAGCTTACACTCTCAACCGGTTCTCGAATCAGGCTGTCTACAATCAGACTTACTTGGCTTAATGATTTCACTTCGACTGCCTATTTGACTGACTTGAGGTCACTAGCAACATCAGCCTTATTGGTCTTGTCCGTTGGCCAAAAAATAAAAACATCTAAGACCTACACTTACTTCCTACGAGTCTGGCCGCTTGTTCCCAAACACAATGTTTTTCTCAAATTCTAGCAAAGAGCGCCCTGGATGTCACTCTTGAACAGATTCCTCAGGCTGTCTCCAAACAAGCTCGCTCAAACCTTCCAGCTCCGAGCCTGACCTCTTACCTTCCCAAACACAGTGTTATTAGTCTTCGTAGTAAGCGCCCTCGCTGTCGATCTCGACGTTCGGCTATCTACAAACAAGCTCACTAAGCTCAACGACTACAGTTTGACTGCTAGCACGGTCTCTACTTGATAGCATCTTTCGCGCGGCAAAATCAACATAACACACAGACGAGGTTGCGTTCGGATTTACAAGCTGGACGCCTCATTTACCGTTAAATCTCGCTTAGTACAGGATTCTCTAGTCCTACAGATCCAACGCATCTCATGTATCAGCACTGGTACAAAATCCGTCGAAGCCGGTGTCAGAAGCGGTCTAGCAATTCGTACACTGTCAATGTTATACTTGCGGGGAGAGCTTGCAGTATTAGTTGTAAGAGCGGCACTTGATGCTGGCCGCTTTTGCCAGCCTGCGGTTCTGAGGCTGCAAGACCTGGTGGGGGTTTGGCACTCCAGTTCAACATGAGAATATGCCTGCATCGCTCTCTACAACGGTTACCTAAAAGCACTCTTCCTTGTGAGGCCTGCATCCTCGGGCGCAGATCGAGAGACCGAACTCGAACAAAATGACAACTAATGGATGACTGGCCGGACAGCGAAAAGATGAAGATGGAGCGTACCAAATTGAGGGCTGGTTCGAAGCACCCGCTCCAGCCCACCCGCGAAAAGCGCTTGCGGCCCCTCATCTTTGACGATCTTTGCCAGGGTCTCCCAATAGGCCAGATCCTCTTCCCCCTCTGATCGTTCCATCTGGACACATTACAAGTTCGCAGCTCAGCAAGCACTTTCCTCAGCAGCATTTGATCTGGAAAATTAGCACTTGTCAACTTCGGCTTCCGGGGAAACGCCGCCCCACCTTTTCAATGAAGAAGGGCGGCGGAGTCGCGGACTGGTGGTCGGAAGATAAGAAAAGACAACGGAGTCAGGAGGGAGGAGAAGCCACAGTAAATGCTGGTTAAGAAGACTCCGCTTAGCCGAAAATTTCTGAGAGACGTGCATTACACGTTGCACGGCCCGACATCTGGTGATGCTTTCATACACTGTCAGGAGGGACCTTCGTATTCTACCAAACACGTTTTTACTTCATCTCGTTGCCAAATGCCAAACAGGGTCATGTCTGAGTCTAACGGCCCCATTTTACATGGATGCTCGCGGTGCAGTATTTTGATTCAAGTTTTGAACCTTGGTGCTTTCAGCTAAACTCGTTTTTGAGGCGGGCTGTTACACAAGCTCGATCTTCTAAATTCGACAAGAGCGACATTAAATAGCGAAGCTTGGCATGAAATTCGATACTCAGAAGCCGGTATCTGTCGTACAAAATGGCCGCCCCTCGTTCATATTTCTTATGATCTTTCTAAGAAGAAAACAACGACTCTGAAAGCAAGGACCGAGTGCGCCGATACGTAAAAGCTGAAAAACGTCAGATCTGCTGTGTCATTAGTTCCTGGCCCTTCATCTTACCTGGATGCGCGTTTTCACCACGTCCATTGGAGTACACAGGAACGCTGCCGGCACTGCCGCAAGGCCTGCCGCCACAAACGGCTGCTCCGGAAAGGCCTGCTTCAAGTAGACGTAGATGCCGAAGAACATCGCCGAATAAGGGATGTCCCGCAAAAGCGTGGCGGCGCTTCCACGGTAGAGGCCCGCCACTCCTAGTTCCCGCACGACGGCGAGCGCGGACTTCGGGGCGCCGCCGCGCCGCATCTGCTGCCGGATCTTGACCATCTCCATCTGCAAAAAGGGGTTGGGAAGCTGACGTCAGGGTCGCGGGATGTGACGTTAGTGAGAGCGAGCAAGCCGGGTGGCTTTCAAAGGCTTTGACAGGAAAAACTGACGTCAGGTGAAAGGTCCTATTCCTGGCTGGTCTGTGCAGCAGAATGACTCTCACTCTGCAATTTACTTAGCCTCCTAAAGAACGTGAAGTAGCCTTCCAATCTCTCAAAATACCTAGAGAACAACCACAGAATTCATTCACGAACTCCTGACTGACGGTACGCGCTCGCAAAACAATCCTAGTAAAGTAAGAGAAGAATCTGTTTTTGAAGTTCTGAGCGGGAGGGATTACAATACTCGAGCATCATACCCAGCGAAGCCTCAGTAAAGAAAACAACTTGACTGACGGCTGTGTCAATAAATGCACGCTGTTGACAGGATTTGGAGTGCATGTTCGCAAATCAGCATTCCATTCAAGAGCAAGTTTGAAGTTCGCTACGCTGCGGAGGCGAAGCGCTCGCCAGCTTTCCTTACCGGGTTCGTGAAGAGGACTTGGGCCATGCCTCCTCCGCTCCCCGCAATCGGTTCCAGGATCCAGGGGCGCATGCCAGGGACATAGCTCTCAAGTACGCCCATAAGCAGATCGTTGACCGTCAGCTTGATAGCCTTCTCTGGAGCCACGCCAATGACCTGAGAAGAAGAACAAGAGGAAAGCATGTTTGCTTGAGCACGTTCTATATCCGACTTGTGCCAGAGAAGTGACTGGCAATGAGCATTCTCTATGCTTGCTCTGTCAAGATGAGACGTTGAGCTTGGCAGCTGTATCAAATCCTCCATCCTGTGACATAACAGCTCCAGAAATCTCCAAAAACCCAGTGCACAACTTGATCAACGTCCAAGGGATTTCTGTTTTGTGGGACGAGATCTTTCGTTTGCAGGTTGTGACATCGCATGACGCAGCTTAACCCCTCTGGTCAGCTGAACTTCTCACCTGAGGGAGCAGGCCGGAGAAGAATGCGCCTGGCCCCTCCTTGGTGAGGATCTGCAGGAAGCAGTCCGCAGAGTTGGCATATTGCTTCTTTTCACCCTTCTTGGTCTCCTGGCCCTGTAGTCTCGTCTTCACAATATCTGCAAGCAAGCGCGACCACTTTAACATTCAGGGCTTCGGTGTCTGGTCAGGGCAGCAAGTGACAATCTCGACTTGAGACCTTGAATATGGCAGAGGATGCAAACACCCGCTGCCATTAACTGCCTTAAGTTTCCAGAGCCCATTACTAGGGTGCTAATCAGAGTCCGCTGCAGCTTGTCCTTCTGCTTAAGGAAGGAAGTGCATCAAACGGCATCATATGTTTGCTGCTTGCATGCCTCTGACCCATTGGCACTAATAGGCTGAACGACCGAGCCAAAGCCGTGGAATGTGTCTCAGGAGTCTCTTAACTTTTTCAGTTTACTGTCCACGCTCACCTATGGGACAGACTAATGTTGCCCCAACTGCTCCAGCAATGCCCCCCCCAACAAAGTGGCGCATTGCTTTAATGAGTGCTGTAGCAAGGGCCTTTCGTGGGACCAAGGCAGCAGTACTGGAGATGCCCTTGGACACTGCGCCTGCTGTTGCTACTCCCGCAGCGCTCCTTGTGACCGCAACTGAGGCGCCTGCAACGGCCGCTACAGCCTTCAATTCTACGGGGTCACTCGCAACCCCCCTGTCACTAAGAGAGCTGCTCAGTCTAGTCTGTGAGTCCCTGGTTGCCTGTACACTTGCTGAGCTAAACTGGCTGCTTGTTGCTACTGCTGTAGGAAGGTCTGAAAGTGCTGGAGGGGCTGAGTTATGAGTGGAGGCAGCTGCATTTGTTACAAAATGTGGCACCTTCTTGTAGTCCCCGCACTCAGATGATTGAGATGGGAGGCTGCTGAAAGCACTGCATGTGGAATCCTCCAGCCTAGTATGTACAATCCCTTGAGTCTCGGCAGCAACCGTGCTGGCTCCAACGCACTGCAATGAAACACACAGAGCTGTACTGACTGAAAGGGCCAGCATTGGTTTCCAGTCAAATTTTATGGGAGCAGCATCGTTGTCTTCCTTCCTACACGCCTGCATGGCTCTTTGTTCATTGCTGCATCGAAGGAGCCGCTTCGGAGGCCTGCCTCCACATTGTGTGCTTGTGTAGCAATGCAGGCCATGCGAATCCCTGGAAGCGCAATGCTGAGCTGGAGCACTGCTCAACCTGTGCCGAAGTTTCAACACTTTCTCCCCAGTCCCCAATGCAGGCACCTTAGCGAGAGGGTGTGCAGACAACGTGGCCGCCATGCTCTGCTGGCAAGCACAAGCGTTTCAAGTTTCTACACCTACAGTTGCAGCTGAGCCTGCCGCCAGACTGAGACTCAGTGAGACTCAGACTCAGAGGGCTCCCTCCGATTCAGAGCGTGATGCATGGTGTAGGGCACGCTTGGGCACGTCAAGAGGTTCTTGCGGAAGCTTACCGGGGAACTCAGCTCCCCAAGCGCTGCACGCAGCTTTTGTCCAGCTTATGTACGCCCGGGGGAAGAAAGCTATAAGTGGGTTTAAGCGCGCCTAGAAGCGTCCTTGAGGCATTCATTCCCTGTCAGTTCAAGTTGGTATCATTTATAGCGGGTCAGACCACAGTCTGAGTCGAGACAGTCGCACCTCCTTGTCGATTAGACGATCTCATTGTACCCCGCGTAGCTCCAAGGCTACACGAGTACGGGTGGGGTTAGTTTGGTGGTTAGGGTGGGTTCGGGTGCGGAGCAGGTCATTTTGTCCTTAGGTTTTTAGTGTTGGTTAAGCCGAGAAAATGAGTACTTTCAGTACCTAAGATCCTTATTACTATTAAAGTTTATGGTTTCATATATGATGTGCAGTGTACAAATTGCGCTTCACTCGAACAGTACGATAGTACCGGTACCCTAACAGGCCGGCCTTGACATTGGCCCTGCGGATTCTGTACTACGGTATACGGTATGTAGTCGAAACGAGACCCGCTCGAAAGCCCTACTGCTAGAGAAACGCCCATCCAGCAACCACCAGTCGAGTGAACCGTCCATGACCACTTGCTAGAAGGTGGTGGGTTGGCAATTGCCCTGGTGCTCGGCGTTACCGAACTGCTGCAATGGCGGAAGGAAATCCTTCCACCGTCAAGAAGCAGAAGATGAAGCAGACTTTGGACGGGACAAAGAGTGCAAAGAAGAGAAAGGCTCAAGGTAAGTCTTGTATCATTTGACAGCAGTGCTGCAGTTGCTTGCTTCTCCAATCTTGTTCCCCTTCGTTGGCTTTGATCCTTCAATGTAGTTGTGTCTTGTCTTTCCTGATTGCTCAAGGTTTTCCTCTTGACTGACTTGGGGATACATCTCTGATTTTGTGTCGCTTGCTCTGCAGATGCCCTGGGAGTCAATGGAACTGGACAGGGCCTGCCACAGGATGGGGCGGCACTGAAGCCGAAGAAAAAGAAGATCAATGAGCAGAAGGTAGTGCCAGGAAGCAAGACCCATCAGGCTAAGATTGCCGCAGCGGGGACTGGTGAAGTCTCAGCTGGCTTTGAGGGCACCGTCAAGCTGCCAAAAATGAAGAAAGGCAAAAAGCCAAAAGTGGGTGACGGTAATGGTGAGGACGAAGAAACTAGAGAGGAGGCGGAAGTCGGAGCAAATGGTAAAGGTGGTGCAGAGCCTGAAGAAGAGGACGGCATTGACGACAAAGACGACGTGCCGGATCGGACAGCGGACGGGGGCGAGGTGTCCGGACAGGGCGCCGAGTCCATCACAGGTCCAATCAAGTTCAAGGGGGGCGTCATGGAGGGGGGGTTGCACCAGGTTGAGGGGATCATGAGCAGCTCGGCTTTCGCGAGCGTCGAGCTCTCGGAAAACACCAGGAATGCGATCAAGGAGATGGGGTTTGAGAACATGACGGAGGTGCAGGCGCGCACGATTCCGCAGCTGCTGACGGGGCGGGACGTGCTGGGGGCGGCTCGGACGGGAAGCGGAAAGACGCTTGCGTTTTTGGTGCCGGCTGTGGAGCTGCTGTACCATGCCAAGTTCATGCCGAGGAATGGGACGGGGGTGGTGGTCATCTCACCAACGAGGGAACTGGCTATGCAGGTAGGGGCAGATTGTCGGGCGAGAATACGTGTTTAGTCTGATTAATTGGGTGGTGTATCCAGCGTAATGTGGTGACAGACCATTGGCGGATAATCGTCATTTGCCTGGCAATATCTCTGATTGTGCCACCTTTGCACCACCTTGGTAATTCAGGGTCGCTTCGAAGTCCTTGAGTTTGTAAAGGCATTTCTGTCAGCAACATCAGCATCGCAGGTCCGTTATGCTCTATCATTGTGTGCAGAATTTCTACTACCACAACATTGAAAGTGGAGTACATCATGAAATCATGGTTTACCACCATTGTTGTTCTTAGTTCTACGGTGTGCCGAAGGACCTCATGAAGTTCCACCGGCAGACACACGGCATCCTGTTCCAAAAGTTCCAAAAGTTCCAAAAATGGTGAAAGCATTCTCTACCAGCAACATCAACACCGCAGATCTGTCATGCTCTAGCCTTTTGTGCAGACTTTTTACCACCACAACACAGAATTGGGAGCATTATCAACAAAGTTTGATATACCCTTGGTTTTTCCAGATCTATGGTGTGGCAAAGGACCTCATGAAGTTCCACCGGCAGAGTCACGGCATCGTGATGGGGGGTGCCAATCGGCGCGCGGAGGCAGAGAAGCTGACCAAGGGCGTAAATCTGCTCATAGCCACGCCAGGGAGGCTGTTGGACCACTTGCAAAACACAAAGGGCTTTGTGTTCAAGAATCTCCAGGTCAGCGTCCTCCCACAGCAAGTCGATGCAGATTAGGGTTCCGCCCTGATCTTAAGGGTTTTGCGGGAATGAAGTCGGAGGTTACAGTGATATTACGTGATTATGTGTCGCCGCTTCTAATGTGAATCGGGGATCAAGTTGCCACCGTGGCAGGCTAAGCTCGGGACTGTTTGCCCGGTTCGTTGGGCTTTCAAATTTTAACCAGCTTAAGTAGTGCCACGCAGGCGTAAACATCTTCCAGGGTTCTCGACCGTTATTTTTCTGTGGGGGACAGTCAGGCTTGGCTTAAGAATGGGACCGGGAGCCGGGAGGGGCTCCCCGTTTGGAAAGAGAGTGCTTGTCAACAGAACCCGAGTGAGACTACTGAGCTGGTGGCCTGCTCTTCCATCGCATCAAAGTTGCCCGGCAGCTCTGCTTACTCTTGACTGAGTAGGGAACATCCTGAAGGAGATAGTTGAAACCTGAACTGGTGTAGAAATCGTTGGGGCTCACACAACGCTTCATTTCTCCCAGTGCCTCGTAATCGACGAAGCGGATCGCATTCTGGAGATTGGGTTCGAGGAGGAGATGCGCCAGATCATCAAGCTGCTGCCCAAGGAGCGCCAGACGGTCCTCTTTTCCGCTACGCAGACCACCAAGGTACGCGCTTTTCAGGCATGGCAGACGCTTTGAGCAGTCCAGCTAGAGCCATGAGTATTGGGCCGTTTTTGTCTGCACCCCTTCCAGTGGCCTATGTCCACTCTGGTGTCGAGAAGACTTGGTGAGAAGTGCAAGCATGCACTCGAGGGTAATTTGGTTTGTGGAGGGGTTGCGGAGGGATCGATAAAGCGTTTGTCACAGGCAGGTTACGCCGGCTCACAATTGTTTGCAGGTTTGTGATAGTGTCACATCCGAGGTCTAAGCCGCACTTTCTGTAACAGTTGCAAGTAGCGTCTTGATCGAGCCTGGAGGCTTGAAGCCTTCAGAAAGGGGTAGCGTGCTCTGGTTCTGCAAGAATTTTCAAGAGGTGGAGACATAGTCTGGTTTTTCAATCGCCTCTTATGTACCGAACGTCGCCTTTTTGGTGAGAATAAGCGGACGACTAGGTTGATTGCCTGACATTAGACACGACTCACAGAACGGTCAATTCACAACTTGACTCACCATCCCCAGGTGGAGGATCTGGCGCGGGTGAGCTTCAAGAAGGCCCCGCTGTACGTGGGCGTGGACGACGGGCGCGCCAATGCGACGGTGGAGGGCCTGGAGCAGGGGTATTGCATTGTGCCCAGCGAAAAGCGTTTCCTGCTGCTGTTTACCTTCCTCAAGAAGAACCTCAAGAAGAAGGTGAGGGCGCGTGGAAACAGATTTCAGGGTTTAGCTGATTGAGTATTCTGGTCATTTGGCGGGGCGTATCTGAGGAAGGAGGGGTTGGCTGCCAAGGACCGGCTTGCCTGGGTTTCGGCTCGAGAGAAGGGTTTTGTAGCGGTTCTGGTGATGACAGTTCTGAAAACGCTGTAGATAGAAGAGACGTATTAAATTCCGTTGTTGTCAGGCAGTGTGGGGCCTTTCTGATGCGCGAATTATCGATCCGGCACTATGTGAATAATTTCGAGAGGCCAGCTATTGTCAGGCCATGTTTCCGTCCATGATTCATGTGATTTGCAAAGCTTCATCAGAGTTGCAGGGGAGTTCGGTGCGTGACTTGCTGCACCTCCCGTAGCAGCAACTATCAGTACGGAAATAGGGTGAGACGAGCGTCCAGGCGAGGTCAGTATCCCTCTTTTTGTGTGCATGCACATAAGGGTCCTTGCAGAGCCGCACTGTTGTTGACACCAGGGCTCTGCACCGCAGGTCATGGTGTTCTTCTCGTCGTGCAACAGTGTCAAGTTCCACAGCGAGCTGCTCAACTACATCGACCTGCCCGTGCTGGACATCCACGGGAAGCAGAAGCAACAGAAGCGGACGTCCACCTACTTCGAGTTCTGCAACGCTGAGAAAGGGATTTTGTGCTGTACCGATGTCGCGGCGCGAGGGCTCGACATCCCGGCTGTAGATTGGATCATACAGGTGGGTTCGCGGTCCACAGGGACGGTGCAGTGATGTCATGTTACGTCACGCCCTAGTGATGGAGCCGTCCTTGTTGTGGTCAGAGTATGCTGGTGCCCTGCTCGCTTTGCAACCGACGTTTTCGAACGCCGTATCAGCTTGTCCGTGCATCTCTTCAACGTGCTCGATTGATGACTTCCATCGTAAAACCATTCTGCTAGCAGGATTTCTTTTGAGACATCATCCAGAAAGGTCCACAAGCCCGTTCTACGTTTAAAACTCCGAATCGAAGCCCCGCTGACCCATACTATCTCCATCCCTGCCGCGCAGTTCGACCCTCCCGATGACCCAAAGGAGTACATCCACCGAGTAGGGCGTACGGCACGTGGGGCGGGCGGCAGCGGCCGCGCCCTCCTGTTCCTCACGCCCGAGGAGATTCCCTTCCTGCGCTACCTCAAGGGGGCCAAGGTGAGCTGCTTTTTCGTTGTCAGCCCTCAGGCGAAGGAGTCGAAATGGGGATGTGGATGGATTATGTCACAGCATGTCCGCTTCTTTGTCGACTGACGCTCTCGTGACGTCACTCTGGTTGATCTTGGAATGTGACCCCGGTTCTTCTTCTTTCTTTCGTTTCAAAGAGACTGGGGGACATGATGGGGCCCGCTATGGGGTTGGCACGCAATCACTGCAGCTTTTGCTGTTGTCATTCTGCTCTTTGTTGAGCTCGCGACTGCGAAACTGCTCCCAATGATCAACAATCCAACTGGGTCAATCTAGTCGTCCAACAAAGTGGGGGCCACGGAAGTCTCTCCTAGGCGTTAGGCCTTTCCAGCCTTCTGAGAGTCCCTAAGGCTTGAAAGCTTGAGGTGTGAGTCCATTGCGTATCTTGCCCCCAAGTCCTTTGCGTTCTCAAAAGCACGAAATGTACCTATTGACGCGCCAAATCTTACTTCTCCAGGTCCCCCTCAACGAGTACGAGTTCCCCGAGAACAAGGTGGCGAACGTGCAGTCGCAGCTGGAGCGGCTGATCGAGAAGAACTACTACCTGCACCAGTCGGCCAAGGACGCGTACCGCTCGTACCTGCTCGCATACAACAGCCACTCCATGAAGGACACGTTCAACGTGCACCGCCTCAACCTGCAGGTGAGCGGCCCGCTCTAGTTCAAGATGTCCATCAGGCGTCTTCTTGTAAGGGTGCTGCGGTGGTGTCTACTCCAACAAGGGGAGGGCAAAACTAGGGTTTGACTTCGTATTTGTCAGTCGTCAGTTCTTTCCCGGTCGCTGAGTATCAGAATATTCTGTGCTTTTTTTTTCTTCAATTTTGAAAGTCGGCCGTTTTGTCAGCCCTGCTAAGTTTTGCGATTACGCACCAGGCAAGCTTTCTTCCTGCCTATTGAAATCTTGACGGGATCTCATGAACGTCAAGTTCACGTCATCATGCCAAACCATTGACTCGGAAGACGGTTTTTTTCCCTCTGTTGGCTGAAATTTCGTTTCGTTCCCGACCCGTTTGATCAAGTATACTCACAAACACGCAAATAATTTTCCTGGGTAAGTAGATTTGAGATGTAAAGATTCATTGTCGGAATGTGTGGCGAAGACTGGTGGCTGCAGGGGGCAGTCGGAGATCCATACTGTTCTGTGACTGCTTGTTGTTTCGCAAGCTCCCTACAGAACTTGCATGACTCACTTTGTCTGGTTGTCTGGTCGTGCAGGCGGTGGCGACCTCCTTTGGCTTTAGCGTTCCACCGAAGGTGAACTTGAACCTTGACAGCAATGCTGCCAAGTTTAGAAAGCAGCGGAAGAGCACGGGGCTTCTGCCGGGCATGGACAAGCCAAAGGGGAGGTCGAAAAGTGGGCACACTTTCAGTGCCACGAATCCGTATGGCAAGCGGGCAGAGACGGACAAGAGGCAGTTCACAAGGATTTGATTGATTGTAGGACAGGTTTAGCAAACCTAATGATCGTCCGACCATGTCAAGAAGAGGTTCATGATACAAATCCAGCATGGTATGGAAGTTTTGGTTCAGCTCATGCCCGATATGGCACTCACCCATCGAATGCATAGAACTCGTAGGAGTCCTTTCAGGACTCAGGTACCTGGAATCGACGTGCAGAGTGCCTCCTTTGGACTTTGATGGGATTGCTGCTAGTGTTTGAGTTGACACGTCTTTGCACACATCGGTCAATCTGACGCACAGCCCAGCAACTCTGATGGGATTGCTATTGATTGAATGCATTTAATCATGAACACGTCTTTGCACAAAATAATCAACTTGACTCGCAGCCCAGCAAGCCACGCGAGCATCCTTCAATTGTGCACACTGCACAGTTAAATCAAGCAGGGTTTGACTTGCACATCAGGTGCAGAGGTCATCATCCGTACAGCTCGTAGTTGGCAATTTGAAATCGATTCATGATGCGCGCGCGTCATACACACGTCTCTGACAACGAACGTTGTTGAAGCTCTGTACGGCTACCAGCGTAGGATGATACAAAGACCGAGTGCCATGTGTCAGATCTGGGCTGTCACAGGATACAGCGGCCAGCCCAATGGCAATGGTCTAGCTACTCTAGAGTCTAGCCTATCCCTTCATACGGTATGCCAGGATCCTACCGCTTCAGATTCTACCGGTAGATCCAGTGCAGTGTGCACAGTGCACACCGCCGTTTGCGGGATACCCGCAGGCTGTTCCGTGCAATGGCTAGCACAGTCTGTGACTCTGTGCCGTGTGCACAGTCATTCTCTGCATGCTGGGCGACATGTAGGCGACGCTCCTGCCAAAAGGTCGCCCAGATATTTACTTCCACTGCTTCCAATCCTTCCTTGGGCAGCGGAACTTCCTCGCGAGGGATCCTTTTAGGTAGGTACCGTAATTGCTAGTCTTTGACGTCTTGCTTGCAGCATGTGCATCATGGCAGCAGTGAAGTATGTACGGCATTGTACAACAGCGGCTCATTTGCAGCCATTATATATAGGTAGCTCGTGCTTGGAGGTGTCGCCACTGAATGAACACGGCGCACACTCTAAAGGCTCCTGCAGTCCTGTCATGGCGCCCTTGTAGAAATATCTTGGGGGATGGAGTTTTCAACCTTGACTTCCACAAAGGATCAGGTCCCAGCTGCCGGCGAAAACGATCGAAGTGACGGGAACTCTCCTGATGAGAGTGGTGGTGGTGGCCTTTTGCCTGACGCTGTGAGCTACAAGATCTTTGGGCAATTGGACCTAGCGGACTTGGTGCATGCTTCTGAGGTCTGCAAGGAGTTCAGGCGGCAGACGTACGAGTTGAGGCGGGGCTGGCAAGAAGAGAAAGAAGCGGCGGAGGCAAACCGATACAATTGGGGCCATGATTGAGTTTGGTCTCTGACCCTGTGATCTTTGCTGAGGAAGGTTGAAGTCCACAAGTTCTTGGTTCTTTTGTGAAAAAAGTCAAGGCCCGCACTATCCCAACCTCCTCAATTGGTGTAGCTCATGCATATCAGCACAAATCATTTGCATTCAAGCTATTAGTCATTCAAGCTTTCTGATTGCAGTCACCTCAGTGTTCCTTACTGATCAGCATGGAGGCCCCAGAGAGAAATGCTGACGTGGCCAGCGGGCCGCCAGCTCAGCAGGACGCAGATCAGAAGCGTTCCAACCGGCTGCATGCGATGGCTGGAGGAGATGGACAGTACAGCTACGACCAAAACTCAACTTACCAGCGTCAACTGTTCGAAACAGCACGCCCACTTCTGACAGCGGCCCTCAGCCGCTACCAGATTCCCGACCAGAGCATGTTGCACGTCGCAGACTTAGGCTGCTCCACTGGGAAGAACTCCGTCTATCAGACCGGCGTCCTTCTCAGTTGCTTGAAAGCAGCCGGCAAGCTCTCTCCAGATACGGAGATCATGGTGTCGTTCTCAGATCTTCCAGACAACGACTTCAACCTGCTGCTCAAGAGAGCGTCAGAGGCGCGGCAGAGCGATCAGGCTCCGACGTTCTTAGCTGCGGCTGTGCCAGGCTCGTTCTATGAGGCGCTCTTTCCCAAGAACTGGCTGCACATGGTCACGTGCAACACATCGCTCCATTGGATGTCGAGGTAAGCATGATGGACTGTTCGTTGCAATTATGCATACATGATTGTCCAAGAATGATCGGTGGCCACAAGGTTTGCAGAAAGGTTGGACATCTGTACTATGTTAGAGTAGCCATCATGCAGTGGCCAGATTGACCAAAAATCCAACAGTGAGGTCCTGTTCATGCTGAATCTGGGGCTCATCATGAGAAGCAACTTTCAAACCCACTCCCCTTGAGACTTCCTTCATTTTGTGTGTGAAGTAAGATTTGAGACTCCTTGCATTTCATGATTCAAAAAGTGACGTTGGATGATCTTTGATGGGAGGTTGTGAATCTGCTTTCAAGCACATGTCAATTATCCCGGTGGAAAGATGCATTTCAGATCGCAAGTGTGCGCCTGATTAGTGCATTCGCTGACAGTTCCCTTCTGTGAGCTGCAGGGTGCCCCTTGAATCAGAGAGGCCCCGTTGGAACCCAGGTACAATCTGGTACTCTAGATCACAGCACCAGCATGTTAAGGACGCATACCAAAAACAGGGCCTTAAGGATCTATCTGACTTTCTCCACTATAGGTAGGCCTCGTCTGCCACTCCCTCTCTAGACTCGCAGCTTACAACGCCTCAATTTAATCTTCCTCTCTAGTCCTGAATGAAGCGTGCTGCTTGTCTCTCAGGTCAAGAACAGAGGGATCCCCCTCTGCCAAATGATTGACAACGAAGAATTGCTCCGCCAAGTTCCTGTGCCAGATCCAATTTCAGTGGCCTGTATCACCCCTTTTATTGCATCATTTTCAAGACGTTTTAGTTTGCTTCTGCAAGAAGCAAAAAGAGTCTGCTGTATTCTACACATGACTCTACTTCTCAATGACAAAGGTAGAGGGATGACGCTTGTTCTGAAGAGGGGACATCTTACTGGCTCTTCTGAGAGTCTGATCACGGCCTGCTTCTCAACCTATTCCCCCACCATGGTTAAGGCGGGTACCTTAAACCCTCCGTATTATTTGAGGGTCACTTCGCGTGATATTCATCAGTCACATCAACTGGTTTTATAGCAACCTTCTTGTCTCTGCAATGCATCGAAGGCCAGCAAGATTTGAGTTACTTGGATATGAGATTTGGAGAATCCAAGACGGGCAATCTAAGTGGTTTCATCCACTCTTTGCAGGGGTCGGGAGTTAGTCCCGGGGGGCTTTCTATGGATGTACATTCCAGGCCCAGGCAGTCGTAAAGAACTGCCCCAGGCGGGGTACGAGGGAAACACGTGGATTGATATCATCGATGACGCATGGAGGGATCTGGTGTGTGAGGGAGTGCTCGATCCAGAGAGCCTTGACACCTTCAACATGCCCGGTGAGAGCCTTGGACTTTATTCACCGGTTTGAATTCCTGATGTACAAAATCCTAGGCCAATTTTGGTGCTCTAGCTCGGTCGTAAGTTTCACGTCAGGGTTCTCCTGATAATTGCCGAAGGATCGGGGTGCTGACTGTGGTCTGGAGGAAGGGATCCGTTCTTTGGCGGCTTCTAGTAGGGTTGAGAAGGTAGAAACCAGCTCGAGTGCGGGAATGCCAGCTTGCTCTCTGCTTCCCAAAGTGCATCGAAACAGGACGAGTGACTCTTCCTTTACCAAGTACTATCATGTCTTGCAATCGGTCTGCTCTTCCGGAGTTGAGCTGCGACCTGCAGCGTCCAACCGACTGCCCAAAAACAGTCGTTTCCATCATTTCACGGTTCAACTTTGACCCGCTTTGGTTCAACAACTGGATTCCCTTTTAACACCAGGTGATTGAGTTGCTGTCTCAACCCGTTTCTTAGGGTGTCAGCCAGTGAGGTTATACCGCGTTGAAACCTGCTTGCCTCCATCTGCCGTGCAGTCTACTATCCCAGCGTCAAAGAGATTGCGGCGCTCGTTGAGTCTGCGGGCTGCTACACAATTGACACCCTCCAGTACGTCGAAAGCGAACTGTCGCCCGATCTTCGAGCAACCACCGAGCAGGAGAGGGAGAAGGCGGGGGTAAAGCAAGCAGGTTCGTCGCCTTAAAGTCGCTGTCCTTCTTGCGGAGTACATTCTCGCCGGCATTTTGAGTGAACAGGTCTCATTCTGTTGCCCCCGGCAAATCAGTTCCACCCACAAAAGAGGGTTTTTTGGGACGGCTTACTTCGACAAGGCCAATAGCGGAAGTAGGACAGAGTCTTCGAAGGGCGGGGACACCGGCTCGTCTTCACTGCGACAGCAAGGAGACGGAGATCTCGTCGAGAAAGTGTTTCGTAAACGAATCGCCGCCCTTTCAACTCCTTTCTTGTCACACTGGAAGAAGCAAGGTCACCACGGATTTGCATCTGCCTTCAACACTATTGTATTTTCTTAAAGAGGGCGTCTGCGGATGCATCCGCATGACGTCATATGGCGACTGCACAGGTTGGCCCTCGGCGCTTTTGTCGCCAAAAACTCAAAGTGGCGGTAGTATTCCCCGTGCCTGATTTTCTGCTTGGGAGTGACCGGTGCTGACGTTTTGGGCCGCCCCGGTACGACGCCCACTTTAATACGCATATTGAAGCGGTGAAAACGACCACGTGGCGCATGATCCCACGTGTTTCAAGTTGAAGCATTTCTCGAAGTGGTGACGAAGGACACGTGGCGTGCAGACCTCGTCTGGGCGGTCGTCAAATCCCTGGTCACAGGCGCGCTCGGCAGCGAGAAAGCGGAGCGGCTCTTCGAGCGGATGCAGCGAAACGCCGTGCCGAACCTGGAGAGTTACCTTACGCCAAAGATGTACACTTGCGTTGCATTGATCAGAAAGTAATGATGCGCCTCAGCATTATGTGTTGAGGATGGCGCACCTGCTCTAGCCAGCGGTATAAATGCTCTCTCATGCTACCGAGGAAGGTTGTTAAGTTAAGCTCGAGGAGGTTGGTGGTACTCCCGAGAAGGTTAGGGCGAAGGTTCGTGGATATTATTTTCGGTCTGAGCAGAGTGAGTGACGAGGCCGTTCAACTTCTGTTCGTCACTTGCTTTGGAAATCTGACAACACGCGGGATCATCTTGCTCGTGCTGATCCTTTTCCTCATAAAGACTTGCAAGGATAGGCCTCGAGGGACCGTAAATATGTCCTTGTAGTCCATTAAGCAACGTGCAGTCGCACTAGGCACTCATCAAACTCATAGCGTGCATGGCAATCTCTCCTGACAATGATCACAGTAAGCCCGCGGTTTGCGAAAAGACGGTCACTGTCGCTTGTGGGCATTGGCCGTGGGGAGTTGGTACACGACTTTTCCGATGCATAAGGTTTCAGTGAAGCCTCAAGCTGACGGTCCTATGCCTTCACTCAGATTACATCGACCTAACGTCGATCATGTCAATCAGTTTCAGGTTGTAGCTGGGAATATACTGACGTCAAGATGGTAATTCGCACTCCACAAACATGTGAAGTCCTTGCTAATACGTACATGATGATCATGTACGCACCATGATCTCGCACCATCATTGCCAGCTTGAATTTGACTGCACAAACGATCAGCGCCGCCCATGCATCTATACCGTCGTACCTCGGAATCCTGGCATGCATCATGCTCGGGGCCTGCCAGGCAGACGCGGTCATCCAGATGCTTGGAGCTTTCATGCATGCGCACATGTTTGAGTCACGTCCGACCGCGACCCGAGTGACCGCGATCTGGACATGCATTGCGCAAGCTGTACGTTACTCATGACGGGCCGGTGCACATGGTTGCTGCATACGCCGGGTAACATACGTGCATGCACAAGGCTCACAGCACTTCAGCTCATGCATCCAACATGCTTGACAATCATGCGTGACCGTGGCCCGGCTTGAGGCGCAGACTATAGAAGTAGTTATGTCAGTTTCGATATCAAGACTAGCATGATTTAGAGACGAATGGTCCTCGAACCTTGGCCGTCCGATGAGGGTTTCTATATTTGGGCTTTTCGAATAGTTGGACAAAAAGTGCAGTTCAAGTACGCACGACATGGCTCATCTATTTCTATGACTTGACCCGAGACAGGACTCGTTTAATCGAGCATAAGCTACATTAACACAAGCCTATGCGTCTGCTTTACATCCTAAAAAGCGTACTTTCAAAAGCAAGCTAGCTGCACAATAGCAGGTGTTACCGCATGACCTTGAGCTCCAACAGACTACTCCCGCCGCCCGGCTTCTTATACCGCCGCAGCATCAGGCTCGACCCCACGACGCTCACACTCGAGAACGCCATACACGCGCCGGCCAGCCACGGCGGCAGCCGCAGATGAAACACCGGGAACAGTAACCCGGCCGCGAGGGGGATCCCCGCGACGTTGTACGCCATCGCCCACAGGTAATTCAGCCGGATCCGGTCGAACGTTTTGCGCGAGAGGTCGATCGCGGTGATGACGTCCTCGAGGTCGTTGCGCATCAGCACGACGTCAGCGGACTCGATCGCGATGTCGGTCCCGGCCCCGATCGCGATGCCCACGTCGGCCGCTGCCAGCGCGGGGGAGTCGTTGACACCGTCGCCGACCATCGCGACAACCGTCCCGTCGGCCTGGAGCTGCCGCACGCGCTCGGCCTTGCCGCCGGGGAGCACCTCCGCGAGCACATCCTCGATGCCCACCTGCGGAGGTTCTGGGTGTTAGTGGCAAAGAGGGTTTGCGGCTTGGTGACTCAGTGATTTAGTGGTTCAGGGCTCGGTGCTTCAGCGCTGTTTCCGGGTTGAGTGGGGTACTGGTTTGAATCTAAAACTTCGGAGCTCAAATCTTGGGACTCGGGCGCAGGATCTCACAGCCAACGTCTTGGAGGTCTTAATGCACGTCTTTGGACTTGGGATATGGAATCAAACAACCAAGCTGGTCGCAAAACAATTCTTGTGACGTCAAGAACTTGGACCGGTGGGCAAGAGTCTGAAGTTGTAGACCGTCCGAGAAGTAAACCGGGCATACGCACAAGGAGGACCAAGCCGATTTACTGAAAGTCGCTCAATGAATTTGCTTGCATAGGGAAAAAAGTCGACTTCTTTATTGCCGCTCCTTTGCAGCACAATTTGGACAGGCCAGACCCTCTTTTTCTTTATTTCAAGGCGGCCTTCCTTTCGCTCCTTCGATTCCACGATGCAACTTTCCACTAGTCCAAACGCTCACACGACGATCTCGGAAGACAGCAACTCAACCCGACATCCTCGAAGACCCCAAAAAGTGAAAACAGCAGCAACGATCTCACAGCTCGGTCCCCTCAGCCAAACCCACCTCCTCCGCGATTGCCCGCGCTGTGCTCCAGTTGTCGCCCGTCAGCATGACGGAGCGAATGCCCATTCGCCGGAGGCCCTCCACCGCCAGAACGGCCTCCGTCTTGAGCGGGTCCGAAATCGCGAGGACGCCCGCGAGCTGTCCGTCGATTGAGGCCAGCACGACTGTGCGCGCGCGCGCCTCTTCCTGCAACGAGAGAGGGGAAGGAATGTCTTTTTATTTGTGGTCGAAAGCTGCAAGTTTGTAGTAGTCGTCAGAATGCACCGGGTCAACCTCGGCGGTCAATGACTTACGAGTGCGGACGAGCGCAGATACCAGTCACGACAATAGCGTCCGAACGAACTCTCCAAGGATGCGGAAAGGCTGGAGGTTGGAAAAGCATACGCTCGTCATTAAGCAGAACGTGCTGAAGAGCAGGAAGTTTGTTGCTCCAGGCGATTTGTTGCTTTAAGACAAACGACAAAAGTCCGAATCTGCGCGTCTCATTTCTGAGTGTCAGCTGGCCCTAATGAAGGCTTTCGAACCGTATACCCAAATCTAAACCAAAAGGAAAGTAGAACAAGATCCAAATCCCAAAATCATCGCGCACCTGCTGTATGTGCCGTCCCGCCTGCTCGCCTATCTCCACCCCCTGCTCCTCGACCAACCGCCGACTCCCCACCAAAACCTCCAAACCCCCGACCCGGCACCGAACACCCCGTCCCGGGACCGCCTCGAACCCCTCGGCCTCCTTAACCCACGCCGTATCCTTAACCCCGTGTTCGGACGCCGCACTTTTCGGACCCTCCTGAGTCGCTTTTCGGGCGTACGAAAGAAGCGCGCCGGCTAGCGGGTGTTCGCTGTTTTCCTCTGCGGCGGCCATGAGGGAGAGGACTTCGTGCGGCGGCCGGCGGCCGTAGTGCTGGAAGGAGGTTATGGTGGGTTTGCCCTGGGTTAGGGTGCCGGTCTTGTCGAAAACCACGACGCCGACCTGCGGAAGAGAAGCAAGGCGTGAGAAGAGATCCAAAGAGGTGTCGTTGACGCTTGGCCATCCGATGGATTTTCTTACACCGAAGGAGTGCTCGAGCTTATGAGTGGACAAGGACACCTTATCATTACGGCCACCTTGACTATTACCAGACAAACTTGAAAAAACAACCTCAAAAGCTTGGTTGCAAGTTAGTGCAGACACATCGAGAAGACAAACGTACAACCGGACAGAGCAATTGCCATCTACGTTTTGAAGCCAGTCGAACGAAGTTTCGGCTGCGGTTGACCCTCCACTTTGATGGGACGACCACAATCCCGGAACTCGCAAATAAACCCCTCACTGGTGTCTGCAAACTCTCAAGCTTGTTCCCCTTCCAATCATCGAGCCAACCGACTCATTGCCTTACCGAGATAGACAACAAAACCGTACCGACCAGATTCCGTCCACATCGACCGTATTAAACGTTTTCTCCTCTCTGCTCCTCTGGTTCTCTCACCTTGTGCGCGCTCTCAAGGGCGTCCCCCCCCTTGATCAGAATCCCGTGCTGCGCCCCGACGCCCGTCGCAACCATTACCGCAGTCGGCGTAGCCAATCCCAGCGCGCACGGGCACGCGATCACGAGCACCGCGATCCCAAACAGCAGCGCAAAAAGGAACGGTGACGTGCCCTCGGGAAGCCACGTGGCGGGATATGCGCCGCCGATCCCGGCGAGGTACCATCCCAGCCACACGATCGCGGAGGCGGCGACGACCATCGGGACGAAGATGGAGGAGACGACGTCGGCGAACTTTTGGATGGGGGCCTTGGACATCTGGGCCTCCTCCACCAGGCGCACAATCTGCGAATTTGGTTTTCCTTTAAGATGATTTCTCTTGGAGAAAACCGGGAAAACAACTCAATAAGATCACGTTGATTTAGGTGGATGGAACTTCGGACAATTGGGCTTCCTCCACCAGGCGCACAATCTGCAGGTATGGGAAGACAGATGTGTCATTGGCGTTACATCCCTTGTACAGGCACCTTATATCACGGTGGTAATCACCCCCCGTTTAGGATGCAAATTCTGAAAAGTCTCACTGTAACGAAGGTCTGACGGCACTTGCACTTATCGTAGTTTACCCGGTTTTGATTACGGTCAGGATCTATAACACGGCGAACAAAGGCCTCAGGAAGCGCACGACTATGCACGAGACCGTCACGAGGGACGATCTACGTCAGGTGCCTACAAACTAATCGCTTTATGTGTGAAGGCGTTCGGACGTGTTTCCAGTGGACCTTAGTCTCAAAGCCAACTCATCTCAGTACAATTCCGTTACAATCCAGTCTCTCCATTCTCGCAAGTATTTCACCCCAGATCCGTAGCATCTTTTCCTGAACTACAAACCCCTCACCTGTGCGAGGGCAGTGTCGGACCCCACGTGAGTCGCCCTCACGTGCAGCGCTCCGCTCAGATTCATGGTCCCTGCCATCGCCACGTGGCCCGGTTCTTTGAGCACGGGGCGGCTCTCGCCCGTCACCATCGCCTCGTTGATGTGGCTCGACCCCCACACCACCTGGCCGTCCGCCGGAACCTGCGGGGTTGATTATCAGGTTAAGGACGCTACAGATCGCCTCTTATTCTGGTTTGGATGAAAGTACAGATGTGGGGGTTGGACAGGTTCTGAGAAACGCAACATCACGAATCGGCATGACTTCTTCGCGCGTGGGTGCAAAACTCCGCCTCATTCTTGTCCATCTATCTGCCCGTGCACCAGAGACCAGTTGATTTGAAGACAGGTAGCGGAGGATCAAAAAGGTACGAAAGATCTATGGCTCAGGGGCCATGTAAGATGAGAGCCGGGTAAACTGTAGCAACTAGATTGGCCTAGCAAAGTCGAGATCAGAGGGGCTTCATCACGAGATAGGCCGCCGGAAGAGCAGATCGCGGAGCCTGAGGCTGAGACAGAGCTATCCAATCGGATTTCGGAAGGACAAAAAAATCGAACACTTTAAACTTAGATCTATCATACTTGATGCACAAGTTTAAGATCAGAATGGAAGAAAGCACGCCAAGTTCAACAATACGCCCTTCCGGGAACGGCAAAAAGTCATTCAGACCCCGAAGCAATCACAGCTCTTTGCGTCAGACTTGTCAATGGGATCCAGATGCTCCGAGCATGATTCCTGATGATGAGCCGTTCGATCGTCCACAAGGAATGCACTGAACGGCTCAAGATTAGGAACCTGCTCGGAGGTCCTGAACCGGACGACGTGTTTTCACGCGAACAGCTGTAATTCGCTTCTTGGTTTTGTAAATCGTTCCTGAACTTCGTATTTAGCCTAGACATGAAAAAAATATTGGCCCAAGAAATGGTACCTTGGCTCCCGGCACCACTTTGAGAATGTCTCCCCTTTGCACGAGCGCGGAGTCAATTTCCTCCTCGGTCAGCGGCTTGCCGTCCGAGTCCACCGTCAGAAGCACCGCCGTGTCTGGCGCAAGCTGCAGCAGCCGACTGATGGCCTCGCTCGTGCGGCCTGTACAAAAGCCCAAATGGGTTCCTCGTGACGGATTTTTTGAGCCTTTGTTTCAGCGACGACTTAATGCAATACTTTGCGTAGCTCTGAAAGTCGCAGAAGTTCGACTGATGGCCTCGATTGTGGGACCCTCTTCGAAGGGAGTCAAGTAACGAGTGCGATCGTCGTAGAACCAGGCATTTTGCAGGTCCTCGTTGTCAGATTGTGGAGCAGATAAGCATTCAAACACATGGAACTTCATGACCCAGCCTCCTGCGGCCTCCTCTAAAGCCGCCTGAACTTCCTAGCCATCGAGCGCTCGTCAGTTCCGGGACAAAACGATCTGCAGACTCTGTCAACGGAGTCAGAATTTGCGTCCACAAGTAGGCTGTTCTGCGCAAAACCTCCCATCAACCCGCACGGAAAAGACCTCTTCCCACACACCAACAGCACGCCTTTTGCACCTTCGTTTGAACTTAAACCCAAAGCCTTAACCCACCTTTGGCCAGGATCTCCATGTACTTTCCCAGGAGGATGAACGTGACGAGCATCGCGGGCGTGTCGTAGAACATGCCGACGCGGAAGCCCGGGTTCCACGCCCCGTAAAGCACGCTCCCGACCGAGTACCAATACGCCGTCTGCCCCGCCAGAACCACGAGTACGTCCATGTTCGCGGTGCCGTTTTTTAGGCTCCGATACGCACCCACGTGGAACCGCCACCCGACCCAGAACAGAACCGGGGTCACGCACGCCCACTTGAACCAGTCCACTAACCGGATTGCTAAGAAATCGCTTAAGAGGATCTGGCTAAGGGAGGTCGAGTGCATGGCGAGCATTGGGAGGAGCATGCTGGGGGCGGTTAACGCTAACGCGAAAAAGAAGTCTCGTCGGTGGCGTTTGATTTCTTTTGACCGATCCATCCCGTGCGCCGCGAGCGGGTTTGGTAACGACGCCCTAAACCTCGAAACCCCGTCTCCGGCCGCCTCAACCGCCCTGACCATGTTTCTTAACCCGGTTACTTCCGGGTCGAACGAAACCCTGACCCGTTTCTTCTCGAGCGCGGAGAAAGTTTCGGCCGTATCGGGCTCCGCATCTCGGACGCCCTTGAGGCTTCGAAGGGCGTCCAGAACGGACTGCACGTCGGTTTCGGACAGAAGGCCCTCGACCAACAGAGTAACCCCATCACTCTCCCCAGTCTCAACGAGCTCCGCGTCGAAGCCGGCGTCGTCTATCCGATTGACGATGTCCCTGCAGCGTGTTCAAAAGCCTCTGAAACAATTGTCCCGTATAAGCCCGAATGCACCTTTAGACACAAGCAGGATTCAAGGCTCCCGGACTGAACTCTGGACTTAAGAAGCCCTTGCTTCGAGAAGGTGCCAGGTTTACTACGTTTGGTAGTCAAGATGTAAGACTGCCCCACCGCTTTTAAGGTTACAGAAGCCACTTCAACCCGCTCTTGAGAGCGCGTGCCAATTTTCAGGTTACTTAGCAAAGGGCGCAGCCGGCTGGTATCTTGGTCAAGTTCAACATTTCCGAATCTCACGACACTGTGCTTGGCTCACACAGTCGTGTTGCAAACGAGAAGTAGCCAGGACCGTGGCTGCACTTTTCCTAACCAGTCCAATCTGAAACCGGAACCTGAGCAAATAAGCGCCTAACCTGTGGTTAAAGAAACACGTTACGGAACTTACTGGGGGCCTATAACCCTCGTATCATAGTCCACTTGCGCCTCCTCCGTCGCAAGCGCCACCTGTGCGCTTTTCACTCCATTAAACGCCCGCAGCGCTCCTTCGACGGAGTTGACACACGCGGAACACGTCATTCCCCCGATCTTGAAACGGGCCTTCACAATATGCGAAATGACGGTTTGGCTCGTCTCTGCCGTTCCCCCGTGCGAGTCGACTTTGAGCAACTCCGCGTCGAAGCCCGCGTCTTCGATGGCTTCGACGATGTCGGCGTGCTGCGGACGCGGAGAAGGGGGTAAGAGATGGAAACATGGGAAGGTGGTTTGCGTTCCTATTCATGTTGTCAATTTCTCCACACAATGAATGGGGGATGGAATCTTCTGGTTTCTTGAGCATCAGATGCTGCATGGGTGTGAAGGGAGTGTGTTCACATGTGTTCACACACGCGAGTTCCTTTTTTTCGTTCCCATATGAAACCCCAGCAACAGTTGGTAAAGCACTTCAGCCCTCTTCAAACCTTTTTCCGCCGCAGATTTGTCGCTCGTGCATTCTCAAATCAAAAGACCGCCTTCAGTTGGGGCGTGCTCACAGAAAGGCTCAGCTGCCACCGACCTCGTTAGAATTCAATGTAAATCCGTTCACACAGCCTGCCTTCTTTTCCACAGTGGACGAATGGGCAAAAGGTGAGGTCCAGCTCTTTTTTCAGGGGGGGTGAGCAAAGCAACCTGAAAACCAGGATCTTAGGGTGCCAGTGACAGCATGTGGTTATCGACAGGCCAAATTGCCCTTGCCTGGCTTCTGATACTCAAGGCTCCCGCAGAACTGGTCTTTGTCGGACTTTCACTCGATTGGAGTGTTGCGCAATGCTACAACAACCTCAAGCGAAAAATCACCCCATAACATGCTTGTTATTGCTGCTAGCTGCACTACAATAACCGCTGATCGGCCCCGGGGTAAAGTGCGGCAGATGACATCCTAGGACGTCCTTCTGGCGTGAGCCTCAATGGGTGGGGAGATTGAAAAACAAGTTTCACCGGGTACTTTCTCAACAACATATAACCAATCAACGAGGGACATCTCACTTTCTCTATCCTGACTTTGCAACTCAATTTTCTAAAATTCTGGCGGAGATCTGGATATGGCCAAGAAAAAACCTCACCGGCAGCCGCCCCGGGTCATACACCACCTCCGCCATGTTTTGCAGCAGCGCCACGGACACGGACCGTACCCCGTCTAGTTGCCCCACCGCCTTCTCCACCGACGCCGAGCATGCCGAGCACGTCATCCCCGTCACTCTGATGTGAGCTGTCGCCTCGGGGGCGTCTCTCGCAGCAGTGCTGACATCAGCAAAGTGAGCGGAACCTTGGGCAAGGTCCCCCAGCTCGACGTCGGTCGTTCGGTCCTCGAGGAGCGGGGCGTCTTCCGTGAAAAGTCCATCCTCGGAGCTACGGGCTGGGAGGACGGCGGTCGAGCGCTTTTTGAACCCAACTGCATCGCCGAGACTTTTCAGAGATCTTTGGAACGCACGGGGGGAGACAGGGGAGGCGGAAGAAGGGGCCATAATTACTCAATAGTTTGAGAAAACCAAAGGTGCACGTCAATCTACAAACGATTGGGCAGGAGTTTGGCCGCCTCAGCTGCCCCACTTGTTGGACCTCATCCAGAGAAACGCTGGCCCACCGACGAGGGTACTCCCCCTCAGACGCCCTGTAGAGCGCAGCTCAGCTACTCGCAGTACTTACAGCAAACAGGCAAACCACAGCACCATCTTGGCACTGGTGGCTTGCCAAACACGCAGGGCAATCGGCCAGCTTTTCTCAGAGTGTTCGCTTTTCACCCTGATGGAGAAGTGCGAGGAATGCTGCTCAGACTCTGCTGCCCGCAGGCAAGTGCCGAGCTTGTGAGTCGGTCCAGGGGACCAGGGTCCAGTCGGAAATTGGAATTGTGTCCGATGAATCTGGGTCAGAGGAGTCAAAATGATGGCGTCACAATGACCCTGTAGAACACGCGTCAATCACACGCGCACTCTTGCTGAGAGTTAAATATTGAAATCGCCGTTGTTTGCGGCAGTACCGGTCACTCCTTCATAGCAGATGAGTCACTGCGTCCGAGGCGGCGACAGGATGCCCGGAACTCCCCCTTTTACAGTCGCTTGCAATTCTGTGTGGTGCCAGCAAAAATTGCAGCGACAGTCAGACGGTTCGTAATTTTCAGGATACCGTAGTCCAACGTGATGATTCCGAACGATTTTATTTCGAATTATTTTCCAACAATCCGACCAGGAAAGCGGAATTATTTGTGCAGATTCCGACTACAATCCGAATGCCCTATGTTCCCAGTAAGAAGGGGATTTTAAGCCTAATTTTGGCCGTTTTGGGGCTTCCGAGTACCATTCTAGAAATATTTATCCGTTCCGAACATCCACTTTCCGAATAAGAAAATCCGAATTTCTTACTTTCCGAATGCAAATAATTATTTATTTATTCGGAATCATTAAGGAAATTGTTACTGCACCCGCCCGCACTTTTAAAGCTCCGGGAGTCGTCGATGAAGTTCTGACTTTAAACTTAAACGATTCGAAAGTTACAAAGAGTAGAAACTTCAATTTCAATGGTCGGCAGTCTGTGGACGTTAGATTTCACTGACGGGAAGTAGGTACCGTGTGCCGTCCAGTGCCGTCCGGCGAACTGCGCGCTAGCATCACACTCCGACTGGTCAATAACGTAGGGAAATATGCGCGAGCAGTATCACCGTGCGCGGAGCGGAGCGGCGGCTGCACCGTCTAGCCTGAATCGCCAGCATTTTGGAAAACGCCAGGCGTAAAGGTAGCTTGGACAAGTGCCATCATACGACATACAGTGAACATATATCAGAACATATAATTTTCAGCAGCGGAGGACTTTGGCCGCTAGGCCAATGTCCCACGCCTCTCATAAAGTTAATCGGCTTATTGCGTCCTGGGCGTTCCAATTTCCGACACCCTTGATTACCTTGGACTTCGGTATCGCCGTCAAAGCCATGCCATTAAATTATTGTGTGCATGGGAAGATTGCGGCCGCCTAGGATAGGTAGGTGGTT